CAGATGATTCGGCTAAATAACGTCCACAAACCCTGCAGCCTGTGCTCTGCAGACATCCCACACAACTTTAACTTATCAATAGATGTTCAGTTAGGTCTGAGAGATTCTGCCTTTTCTCTGAAAAACTATGTCCTCGTTTACTTCACATCTTTTTGGTGCATCCAGCTAGAACGGGCCCTCGACTCACTGAGCTGTAAGCAGGTGAACTGTTGCCCCCGTTTGTTTCTCTCTGAGATGCAGAAGCCAAAACTTCTCTGTGCTCATTACTAATGAATCTACAGAGTTCATATCAGAGCAACCTGTTTGTTTACTGTAAACATTAACTGTCTAAATGTAAGGAGATAACTTAATTTCATTGGGCTATAATCAAGTTAAATAAACTGCCTAAGATTGTTTGAAATAAGGAGTTAAACCTCGGCTTTAAATATGTTAGAAACACTTTATTAAGACACTTAATTTATTGTGCTCAAGATTTAGAGTGTGTCACAACTTTTGTTATGAAAAATCCTCAAGAAAAGATCCAAAAAGACTCCTTGACTGGATATAAGACCTTAAGTCTTTGATAAATGCTTTGGAGGCGAAAATAACACATTTTTAGCCAAACACCTCAACTAAAATTACTTTTTTTATTTGAACATTTTTTGTAAATAATGTCTCAAATAAACTCAGATTTCACGTGTTTTCTCCAAACTGAGAGCTGAAATGCGACGCTAACTCAAGTTTTTATGGAAAATGAAAAAACATTGTATTTGTTTGAAACTGTTTATCCATTTTAGAGGAAGCCTGTCCAGCAAAAAGAGCCCACACACAAACAAGAAGGACCTTTCAGGCAGCCTCCCTCGGTTAACCACCAATACATCAGTCCTCCATGACGGCACGACGGAGGCCAAAGAAAACCTTGAACAGGATGAGATCATGAACAGAGCAGTGGAACAAACCACCTCACCATCCCAGAGAGTGTGAGATGTCAGACGGGCTGCAGACGCCGCTGAGCAGCACTAAAAGTGGGGTTCTTTTTCTTTTCAATGCACAAAAAGCACAGAAAAACAACATTTTTATTTTTCATTTTAAGGAGGTGGTGTTTGGAAAAGGGAAAAAATTCCAGGGGCCTGAGTTTCTCTGCGTTTAAAGCTCCCAGCAGGGCAGAAGGACAGATAACGCAGCATAAACAGCAGATAGATAAAGGAGAGAAAGGAAACGGGGAATCCAAAAAAGCTCGGAGATGAATCGCAGCCTCTCATGTGAGGAAAAGCACTCGGTCACATACCCAGAGAGGCGGTCATGATGGTGACACTTGTCCCGTTAACTTGTCGGTTATTTCCTGTTTCCTCTGACCTCCGGGTCTCTCACCTTCCTGCTGTAAATTCTGTAACACTTTCTGCTGATTTCCAGCCTGAATGAATCCCTCCCCGCTCCCAGGAACCTCCTCCTCGCTCCCTCTTTCACCTCTATCTGCTCAGGAGGACTCCTCTCTTCTGTCTTCAGAGGCTGGGGAGTTTCGCCGCCATGCCCCAGATGCGAAAATAAGCTCCCCGTTTGTTCTTGGCTTGTTGTGACACCGCTCAACTTCTGGGTTTGTATGGAGGGAGGGACAGGGAGGGAAGGAGGAGGTGTTTGGAATTTCTTCCCCCTCTCTCCCTCCTCCTCCTCCTCCTCCTCCTCCTCCTTACTGACCAGTGAGCATTGTTCCTGCCGGGTGGCTGCCAGCACTTTCCCCCAATCAGAGCAGATTCCAGTGGGGTCAGAGGTGACATGTGGCCTTTCATGGACCAGGGAGAGCGATAGGAGGTGGTGGGCTTCGAGGAGCCTCTCCGTCAGGGCCTGTGTGTCCACTCCCACCATCTGCTCATCACAAACAGGGACAAAGGCACGCAGACACACCGACAGTCTCCTGCCATGTGTCTCGTCTCAGCCCGTCATAAATAACACTGTAAAGCTCCTGATGAACTGAGTTATGAGGAGTTTGCTTTGGTTCCGTGCCTCACTTTGACCTCCGGGTCATAGGAAATGAGCTGCTTGTTTATCTGTTTAAAGTTTGGGAAAAATGCGCAAACACTGTGTTGTTTTGCCTTTAAGATAGTCAGAAAAATGCCAAAGAAATTCCTCCTCATGCTGAGATTTTTTTAGAGCAAAGAGCTGACGAATTCCTGCAACTTTACACCTCATTCATTCCAATGTTCTGCTTGTTTTGCAGTCATTTTCAATCCCTTTCATTCATGCCAGATATCTGCTCATCAAACAGGGAAAATAGCCAGATTTAACTTTAAATGTAAAGGTAAAAATCAAAAAGACTTACAAACAATCAATTATGTCCTAGATCCCTGAGACTTAACTAAGTAACTTCTTTTAAAAATGACATGGTTAGGCATTTATTTTTCACAATATGAGGCTTCAGTTCTCTGAAAAGGGGAAGACGTGGGGAGGTTGAATGGAGTTGTTCAATTTATGCTCTAAAATTGAAAGTAAAGATTTAAATCAACAGATTTTTGTTTCCCTATATTATTTTCATGCCAACATAAACACAAACATTTCATTAAGAATTCAGGAATTTGTAAATAGTGACAGTCTGCATTGAATTTTCCTGATGGCATCTTTGTGCTAAATTCTACCCTTTTCATGAAATAAACAGAATGCAGAATGCAGCCATCCCCTCTGCCTGTCTTAAAGCTGATTTTTGGATCTGAAATAGCAGCTCACTGTGGACACATGAAGCTTTTCAGACTCCCTCTCGACTGCTTCAGTTTCATTATGTTCCAGCCATCTGAAGAGGACTGTGCCTTTCTCTTAGACAACCCCCTGACCTCTGACCCCTGAGGACTGAGGCGGTTGAGTGTTGTCTGAGCAAACCATCTGCCTTTGCTAAACCTAAGCTAGCAGCAACATTCCTGCTACTGAGCCCCGTTTCCGCTGGCGGAGAGCTTTTGTGCATCACTGCTTATTTTCATCTGGCCATAAGTACACAGAGGAAACGTTATGTAAGAACTTTGGAGACAGTAGCAGGGTTCATCCTTGGACTTAATATATTTTTTTACACAAGAGGAAGTTACTCTGTGGCCAATTTGGTAAAACTAACTCCTTATTTGTAGGTTTTTGATAACTTTCTGTTAACGCAAACCAATCGAAAGAGCATCAGATAAAAGCAGCAGGAGTTCTTAGACCTAATGTTGGCTGAGGGTATAACTGTTTCCTAAAAAGTAGAAATTCTTCAAATATTTAAAGCAAATATAGCAATTTCTTCTAAGTTTGACTTTTTTCATTTAGAAGAACATTCACATTGTTGTTTTAAGTTAATTTCCATTCAAATGTGAGAAAAATCGAAAAAATTTGCAGATATGTAGATAAATGTAAGATAAGATGTAAGATATTTAAATATCAAAACAGGATTTGCATACTAATTGAATTTGGCTTCAGCTTTTCTATACTTTAAATTGTCCTTTGATTAAACTGACAGTATTTTTCAAAATCATTTATGTAATATTAGCTTGTGTTTTTAAAAAACTGGATCCTAAACAATACAGATTAGCTGTAACTTGTGAAAAATCAGTCTGGATTGGGTTGGCTGTCAGCTCAAACTCACTCAACCTCAGTGTAATGCTTTAATCATGAGAACTTTGTGGAAATCCCTTCACACTGAGTGTGATCAGCCTGGTATTCAGAACTGAAGCTTTCATTGGATTTATGCTACAGACCCCTGCACACATAAGCATTTTGCTTTGGGTCAAATTATGACATTTATGAATGTTCAAAATAAATGAAGATTACTAAAAGTGCGGGGACTCATTGTTCTGAGCAGACCATTGTCTGTAACTAACGTGGGAAACAGGAAACCGTTGTCTGCCCCTAAATAATGGAGGCGAGCAAAGACATTTGGTATCTTTTGTTAATTCTTCTGTCGATCCTGCAGGCAGACAGAATCAGGTGTGTTTTGTCAGCTCTTTCTTTATCCTGTTCTGATGATTGTCTTCACGATACCTTAAAACAAACAATCTAGTCAGTCTGCAAAAGACAAATGCCACCATAAATACCTCTGACTATGTGTACTGCACAAGGATGCAATCTTCCTCTAAAGATCTTTTAAAGCCAAAACAATAATCCCATCACATACAATTATTTTATTAGAAACAAACTTAACTTTAGAAAAAAGTTTAGGCAATATTTAATAGAGTACGCACCTCCAGAATAATAATACTATTATTAATAATGATAATATTAGATCTGAGCTGAACCATTAAGGAATTAAACACCGCACATGGCCAACATATTCAAATAATCAACTACTAAATCAAATCAGCAAATCCGAATTGCTTTACTCTAATTGCAGCTCAGTTTGTTGCTTGTTTTTTATGGACATTGTTCATTGTCTGAAAACTATAGCTGTGTCATTTGGACTAATCTTTCCATCTGCAGCGACAATACCCCCTACATTTAACGAGAATGCCTTAATTCTTTGAGTTGTTTGCCTTAAGATATTATTTTAAGCAGCCACAGATTGATATAGGATGTGCCCCCCCACCCCCTTACTCTTAACAAGATTTAAAAAAAGTCATAGAGACTTTTTTCCATTTTAAAGACTCAACTGTAATAATTCTAAGCACCCTTCACCTAGGGGGGAAGTTTTAAGTTAACTGGTACATACAATTATTTTAAATAAGGGTCCCTTGATAGGGTGTAAAGTACACCACGGGTTCTTTATACTTTAGCTAACTTTGTTGTTTCACCTTAAGGTTAAGACGGAAACCGGTCAGCAGCACAGACCAGCTGAAAGACATTCACGAATTTTGATACTACAGTAAATTCCTGCTGCAGCTGTGTGGTGCATATCTCCACAGGCAGGATGTCCCAACAAAAGACCCTCCCCTCTTCCCCTGTCCCCTCCCAGAACAGGACGTGAGTGGACATCCTGCCAGCAGTGGCCTTTTCCTCTGTTACCACTGACTATTATTAGCTGCATCAGCTGTCCTGCACGGTCCTGACAGGACGTCCAGGTCCATTTTTTTTAATTAATTTAATGCCAAACCTAAAATGACAGATACGGAGAAAACAAGCCCTCCGTCTGCCTCTGACCAAAAGCAAAACCCATGCCCACGTGTTTAGCCAACAAAGCGACGTCCAGGTGTGTGAGTGTGTTTTCAGTACATAAGGCTGGCAGGACATTCCAGCCGACTCCTGAACCTTTTCCAGCAGAAATCAGGAGCGCAAATATTTAGGGTTGTTCTGCTGCTGCTGCTCTCACACACCCACACGCATTGTGAGAGAAAGTGTACCTTGTGTCCAGCTGTGCTGGTCCCACTGCCCGCCCGTCCTGAGCTGGGAAAACTCGGAGAAATGTTTCACTGGGAAGGGAGGAGGGAGACCCGATAAGATATCAAAATGCAGCAACACCCACGGCCTCAGGCGCTTACTTTTAGGTTATCTCTTACCATAGGGCGTCGGAGGAGAGACTGGGAAGGCCGGAGTTGGAGGGACGATGTCAGAGGTGTCCATTTGGCCGTGATAGTCCAGGCTGTTGGTTTTGTAGAGATGCCCACGCTTAAAAAAAAAAAGACCAGCACAGAGTGAGAACACAAAAGATGAAACTCACAAACACAACTTTATTGAAAAAGTTTTTCGGAGGCGACAACCCTGCTCGTACACACACCAGCAGACATTGGTCTTGTGATCTGTCAGCTTGTGTTTGGGTGTAAACAGCCGCGCTATTATGCAAGGCAGCCGAAAGACTGAGAGCAAGGAAAGATAGCTTTCAAAAAGGAAAGAGATGAAGATGCAGTTACACAATCATAATCTTAGGGATCTTTTTAGAGTAAAAAAAACAACAGCATATTTAGGCTCTTCAAGAAATATCCAACATATCTGTTACATTTTATCTGCCAGAGGTTGTCTAGGTTCTTTCACAAACATGTCAAAACAGCCACGGCTGTTTTAGATACACTGAGGAGGTACATGAATGGTTCAGACACAAATCTTATACAATCTTATACAACGGTGCTATTTACAGCTATAAAACATATACATATATATATATATATATAAAGTACATGGAATATATTTGACCAGTGAAAATAGACAGTATTTGAAGTGAGAATTTTATGCCTGGGGCACTTTATTATTTGATTTTGACAGAGGTGACCAGTGGCTAATATCAGGACAGCTCATAACTGTGTGATTGGTCTGTCTGAACAGGGAAAAACATGGAATCTGTGTTTACCTGGGAGGGACTGTTGGCTGTGGTGGTGCTGACACTCTGAGGTCCACCACCTCTCCATCCAGGACTTTGGGGTCCAGCATAGTCTGTGACATCAGTGATCTGCTTCTGTTGTTTCCATCCTGATAAAGCAGGAGAGTAAAGCGGGATGAGAGAGGGAGGCAGACTCACAGTCAGATTAGGATCTAAACTTGAGAATGAAACGCAGTCATGTGTCCCGCTGCTAGATTTAATGCTCACAAATTGTTTTGTCTAATCTTTGAAAGAGTCATAACAGTAAACAGTTTGGACATTTTGCCGTGGCCAGATGCCAGCTCGGCAATAAAAGGTGATGACAGTGATTAGTGTTCTGCGTGCTCGTCTCTGACAAAAGCCTCTATCACTGTGTTTATCCACAGAGCGGAGCTGCTATCGTTCAGGCACGGCGTGTGTGACTAAGCAGGGCCTCACTGCCAACAGATAGTGGAACATCCCCGTATCCTGTCAGAAAAACATCTGCTGGAACAATCAGCCATTCTCTTTTTAGATATCACCCCGTGAGCTGGATTTCATCCACCCACAGAAATACTGAAAAGCCTCAACTCAGGACAAACATATCAGCTGCAAAACAAGGAGAAAATGTTTTAAATAGCTGTAACTATTTATTTTGCATGCTGCATTTTTCTTTCAGCATGGTGTGTTAGCTTCAACTAACACACTATGGTATCTGTACAAAGATATTTGTTCATTAATAAAATGTAAACTCTAAATTTTCTAAAAATCTCTTAGCAGTCATAGAAGCTTTTCACTGCTAGTTGGGCCATGTATGATCATATGTGTTAATATTAAATAAACCTTGATTTAATATGGTTGAACAGACCCCACATTCACCTCATTGGCCGAATATAGGGGGCAACCCTTTGTCTTTATTCAACCAAGCTTTTCAGATACTTCACCGACTCTCTTGGGATTCTTTAGATTGAATGTACATGGGCTCAAACTCACGAGAAGCATAAACAGCAGTGTGTGACATTTCGAGTTTAGCTTTCAATGTGAGCATCTATCATCTGGAATTACTGGAGAGAGCCGTATGAAACTAGTCCAGTTACTGTCCCACAGTTTGGCCCAGCTGAGGGGGCTTCCACAGAGGTCTGGGAAGTGTCAAGTATCGCTTCATGCCCACCGTATTTGTAAGTTGGCCATTCTCTTTTGAAGAAGATGATGAGAGGGTAAAGAGGGACAAATTGTTGTGTCAAAGCTTCAAACACATTCCTGATCGCTTACAAGTTCCTGCCTTCAAACCTCCCCTAAGAAAACACGTCCACGCACAGTAACGAAGCAAGTCAAGTGTTAGTTACTGCTAGAAATGTACCCCAGGGAAAAAGAGGCCTCCAACCCTCTGACACACCTAAGCTATATATGCACAAACATTCCGGTTCCATTTCCTCCACACTAATTTTTCATTTGAATGAGAACTCAGGACCATTGGACCTGACAGTGAGCTATACTTAAGGGTGAGAGGTTAAATGTCAACAGTAACACAACTCTGTGCGGCAAATAATCCTGTTTTTCCCGACAACCACATCAGGAACACAAACAGGCAGGACTCTGTGAAGGACCCCCTCCCGTATGAACCATCAGCCGCTCAGAGGTTAGCTTTGATGGAGCACCTGCTCCTGACATCACTCATACACCTATGACCCACACTCCACAAACAGAAAATAAATCAGTGATGGAGGTCACAGCAGAAATGGGCTTCCTCCTCCAGGCATTGTCCCAGTGGAGACGACGGGGGATAAATCCATCCCATATACCGGCAGGTTAAAGAGACACAACAGAGAAGATGCAGGTAAACAGACATCACTAGTTTCAGTATTCAGGATGAAGATCCTAGAAGAGGAGTCAGGCTTGCCTTCGCCCAGCTGGCTGCTGGAAAAGATTGCAGTTTTATTTCAAATGTATATCTAAACACAGCTTTGAGTGCTGTTTAAGTGCCTTTAACCTGGATATGTTTAACTTGAACTGTCTGTATTAACCAGAGTCGGTGACCTTCGGTCATTTGAAAACAAAAAAGTTTTTTTGTTGAAGTCTTAGCTTTTATCTTCATTTGATCCTTCCAGACCCTTCATAAACCTGATGTTTGTTCAAAAACCTTTTCTGTCATTTCTTAGTGTGCAGGGTGGCCTGTACTCTTTCCCCCTCCTATGTATTTACTTCTCTATAATTTCACTTCCTGTAACCGGCTACAACTTATCTTAGCACTCAGAGTACTTGGTTAAGGTGGTGAAAACATAATGGTTAGGCATAAAATACGAAACCAACTGGAGTTTATAGTATAACCTCAAATATCTGTAAACCCTGCCATTTCAAATATGGTGGCTCCTGGCTTTGCATCTTTATCCAGTACAGGATACATTTTGCCATAAGAAACTAAATATTATTATGGATTCCCAACCCAACACCTGTATGCTACTATTTGGTACTTTTTTAACATCTGGTTTCTACTTTAACTGTCTCTGTTCTACTCCTGCAGCCCTCAACTTCACTATTAAAGTCAGCTGTCAAATGTGTTGTGCTAAGTTGTGGAAAGTGTCTCAGTTCCTGTCATATATCCTGTATCCTATAAAATGCTTTGTTGCAAAAGATTGAGCAGCTTTTTATAGCTGCATCCCATAACATTTAAAAATGACACTTTGGGGGTCCCCTGTGCATTGAAAACTGACAGTGAGAGTGAGAATGCTGGAAACATTAATCCTTGTCTATTACTCTTTACGAGTCCTTTACTTTTAATGTAATTCCCTTGAATTAAGTATTTTTGTAAATCAGATAATATGCCCTTAGTTTTTTTCAATCCAAGGCAATATTCAGCTAATTCAGGTGTTCACCTGCTGTTTTATTTATGGGATGATTTATTTGAATGTCCAGAGCTTTAAACTTGATATTCATAGACATAAATACATCACAGCAACACGGAGAGCCACAGCATTAGAACCAGCTGGGCCATGCTGTGCAGGTCCCCCCCATGCTGTGAGCTCTGACCTGTCGGGGCATGGACGCAGGACCTTTGGGGCTGGCCTGTGGTGTCTGGCACCAGAAAGTTGGCAGCACGTCGCGCAAACCGTGTAGCTCCCTTTGTTTGACCATCTCACGTTTGAAAAGATGAAATGTTTTGGGTTCTTTGTCATGTCTTTTAACCCACTGTGTAACTGTATTTGCATAAAATCAGTCTCAGCCGTTGCTGATTGAATTATTTTTGCATAAGGAGATACAATTTCTACTTGACTGCCTCTGTCCTTGCACATTGTGTAACCTTTTCCTCCAGCTCTACATATTTCCATCCTTAAAAAGACAGACTGTGGGGTAAACACATTTCGATGTCCTGGTTTTAGAAGGCCTATGTAACGAGGTTATCCACTTCCTCTATAATCAAACACTTCCACCCTTTTGATAAACACCATTCACATTTAGAAATGCTCCCTGTCTTAAACCAACTTAATCACGCTTTAATTCCACCGAACTGAGCCTTGCATTATAAAAAGCCTCTTCTGCCCACAAGCATGTGGACACAGGTGTGTTTTTCTCACGAGGCATGTCATATGGTCAGTTTATCCAACATGCTGCACATTTAGCAACAGGGATAATTGAACTATTTAGCGCTCTCGCTCCGATATAGCAGAGGGAAGGGCTGTTTGTGGTGTGTGTGTGTGTCTTTTTTCTACATTTGCACATGTATTGCCAGATTCTAATGTCTATAATTAGTGTAATTTCCCTTTTCTGGTACTACACTCCCAAAATGATAAATGTCCAGATGCTTACCATCATAGGGGGGGTGTTGCTTATTAAACGGCTGTGTGACAGATGAGCTGTCAAACCAACAAACACAAAATCACCCCACTGGTACTGCTCGTGCAAGTGGCCCTTTAAACTGCTCCCACACGTCCCATCTCAGGTGCTTTGCCTGGCCTTACCTGTGCGACTGGTGCCTCCTTTGTGGCTGAGGCCGTTGGTTTGTAGGGAGGCGGAGCGGGACAGTGGGGAGCAGCGGGTAGGCACGGGGACAAAAGTGGGGTCCAGGTCCAGAATCAGCTGGTTCAGCTGCTCTATGGACTCATCGATGTCCGTTGCCAACGAGGCCAGCTCTTCATCCTGAATAGCTGGAGTGGTGTCGGTGGCCGGTGTGTTTTGCGTGTTGTTTGTGGCATTGTGTCCGTCGTTCTCATCCACTAGCCCCCTCTGCACCGCCTCCCTGCTGCTGAGTCCTCGCAGCGGTGTGTTAGGAGCATCCCTCTCCGTTTTCACCCTGCATGACCTCTCGTCCCCGTCCACTGTAAGGAAACTGTCTGAGGCTGCTTCCACCATCTGCTGCTGACGCACCCAGTAGTGAGTGGAGTAGTCGGTTTGGGCCGGCCTCTGAGCTCCGGGCAGATTTTCCGAAGAGAGGGAGCAAACACTACTCGAGGCTCTGCCTGCTTCCAGGTCATCTTCATCATCCAGGATATCAGTTTCCCTCTCGCTTGATGAGGTCTCTCCATTGATGGTGTGACCCAGCCCAGACTCATCTCCAGCCATGTGCCCCTCCCCTCCCCCGGCTGAAGCAAGTTCAGTCATGACCTCCAGGAGAGGCTGAGCCGGCTCAAAGTCCAGCCCAGAGATCAGCTTCCCCGCCTGGGTACACTTGTCCTGTGTGACCCCCCTCCTCTGTCTGGTTCCCGTCCTTCCCTGCGAGGCAACAGACAGACCTGAGTCACTGCTGGCTGACTGAGCACGCTCACTAGAGATGGGACTGCTGGTGGTCAGAGGGAAGGAGGCTCCTTCCTCGCGGCTCTTCTTCCTCACTCCGGAGAAAAAACTTCCATTTCTAGGATCCAAAATGTAGGGAGGAGCTGTAAGCAGACAAAAGCAGAGTAAACTTCACATGCTGACATGTAAAAGAAGTCTGATGTTTCATGATGTCAGATTTTTATTGCACGCTATTCATTTGCATTATGTTATGTATAGACAATTATATGTATTACAGAACCAGTGGTTTGATGTTTATAATGCACAAAAAAACTTGATGGGGATGATGAAACATGACCATTTCTGGCATTTTTCTCTAAATAAATTATTGAAAAAAATAGTTTTACATATGATTTATTCATAAAACATTTTTCAAATTACCAAGAACCTTTAAAACTAGCAATGAATAGCTTTTTTTTATCTAACTGAATAAAAAAGAGCTAACATTTTTAGATATATGCCACCATCATGTGAACTGAGACTGCAGTAATTAATCTATTTTTAAAAATCCTCAAATGTTGGTTTGATTTTTCACTGTTTTCAGAAGTTGCTGCTTCACTGCAGGAGAACATCAGGGCAAAGCTTTCTTTTTCAATAATGAATCAGAATATAGTTCATTCAAGACTGAAAAGCTAGCAAATATTGTACTGTTCTAGCTTCAAAAGAATAAAAATAAATTAGTTTTAGGCTTTTTCAGAATACTTTTCATTGTTAAAAAAGAGACAACTGTTTTTACTTTACATTATAGTTTCTTCATATTATTACAGCTTTATAAAAGTTTTAAAGATCCAAATAAAACTTTCATCAAAAGCCATTAGTTCCCTTCTGAAGGTGCTCCTACGACATGGGGCTGCACACCTGCATCACTACTGTCCATGATTCATTACTCCAGACACACTCCATGTAGATAACACAGAGCCCCTTTGTGTGGGCTGACGGATGCCCGTGTGAGTCTGTGTGTCACGGAAAGGACGTGTCTTGTCACAGCGTCTACCTGAGGTCAGATAGTGCTGATTGTGTGTTGACACACGCACACACACACACAGTTTTCACAACATGCGATCACATCTGTGACTCTCACAGAGCACAGGAAATCTATCAAACGACACAGAAACTGACATATATCACTGGAAATAGAGAGGTTTTGTGTTTTTTGTTATTTGAAGACTGACACTGATGTAAATTTTACTCCTGAAACATGCAAATATAGGCAGAAATAAATCATTAAATCGCTCAGAAATATTGTTAAACTTAAGAAATAAGATGAGGCTGCCTCATCCAGTGAGGACAACAATACGTACAGTGCATACCAAAGCTGTTTGAGCACAGCCTCTTAAGACCAGGGAGGCAATAAAAGCCAAATACCAGACACGCAGGGTAAAACTTCACAGCTGGTCTAATAGGTCTCTCACAGAGTCTGCAAACAGCTCGGAGAGACCAGAACCTCATCGGCTCAAACGAGGAAACAAAACGGGTTACTTTACCAGCAGCCAGGAGGAAACTTTCACTGTCCCACAGCAGACTAGAAACAGGATGGAAACGCTTTGCTGAAGCCTCCCTCTGGAGTCAGAGGAAGAGGAAAAGAGAAACAGATGATAAGCAGAAAGGAAAGAGAGGGAGGACGAGGAGGAGGATGAGAGTGAAAGCAGATCAAGATTCAGGCCAGCTCCTCTGTCTGCTCCTGTTGTGTCGTCCTCTCTGAAGACGAGCAGAGAACATTCTTTCTCTTAAGGTGCTAACAGCCCTCTGCTGTCCCCCCCACTCCTGCACTCTCTTTCCCCTCTCTCATGTCACTCCTCCGTCCCTGCATTACGATTGCCCGCCTTCCTCTGTTTTGCCCTCCCCCCTGCGTCCTGTCCCAGGCAGGTAACTGTAGGGAAAGAGTGTGCGCTCATACGTTTTCATGTCACAGGGGGAAGGAAACTGGAGGGTGGATCATTCACCAGAATTGCATGCTCAAATGCACACACTCACACCGGTGGAAGAGGGTGTGCAGCACACATAAAGCACTTTCAAGGAGTTAAAAAAAAAAGAAAAAACTCAAAGAAGGGGGACCTTGAGCTGCCCAAATTTGGAGCGGGGAATGTAAACACGGAGGCGGGCTCTGGAGGGACCGTGCAGGAGGGGGATGGGGACATACTGGACAAATTGCAACATGCAACTTGAACCTGAAAGCAAAGTGAGACAGAAGGAGAGCAGAAAGGTAGCCAGTCAAAGAAGATGGAGTGATAGAGGTATCTGAGGGAAGGGCTGCGAGGGGGTAAAGTAGAACCACCTGTGCTCCAAAACAACATTCCTGCAGGCAGAGGAGCTCCAAACAGGCTGGCACCTTCATTACCCTCGCACACATGAACCCGTCTGTGTGTGTGTGTGTGTGTGTGTGTGTGTGTGTGTGTTTGTGTTTACGCGCCACTTTTCCACATGTCTCTGAATCTAAATTACATGGCTGGCAGGGGCAGATTTAGCAGAGGCATAAAACAGCTGGAACCGAAAACCTCAACCGCCGGTTAAAGCGATTGTTTCGGCCGTCTGGTGGAAACTTTTCTCTTCAGGGAAAGAAAAAAGAGAAAGAAAGACGCCCACGCGTGCTCAGGATGCTGCTTTAGAGGACTGCTGTTGCATCCATTCCCTGGAACACCTCTTTGACCACAGATGTAGCCAGCATCCCAAAGTGTGAAAGGTTACGCCCCCTTTTTGGTTTGATCTCCTCACACCAAATCTGCATCTTTAGCAAAACCACTAGGACTGAAAATAGAGCTAGAGAGTGCTTCTTAGACTATGCTGTAGTGCTAGCCTCATAGTAATCATTTCTAGGGTTAACCTGTGGTGGCCTGAGCTTACTTTTTTTTTGACAGGAGGAAAGAACGATTGGCCATTTGTGGCAGTTTTTGATCTTTTGTTTCAAAAGGTCAACTGGTAACAATTGCTCTCCATTCATTTGAAAATGCTGCTGATAGAAAAAGATAATAAAATGCCACATTCAAGGACATGAATGATGATATTACTCCCAGAAAGAGGTGAAGTCACTGTCAAGAAAGATTTTTCTTTTTTAAAATAAATTGACCAACCCAAAAAAAAACAATCAAAATGAGAAATTAAGAAAAATATGTATATCAAAATTACAATTTAGATGATTAACAAACACAGTGTTATAGAAGCAGCTGCTGGGCATGAATCAGGCAATTTCCAAACTATCTTGAGTCCATCATTCTACAAGTGGAAAGCATTAGAGTGGACGTCCCTGCAGAGAAATCCTGGAGCTACATCTCAGACTCTACAGGCCTCCGTTAGCAGGTCAAAGGTCATGGTAGAAAAAGACTGAACAGGCACCATCAGAAAATAGTTTCCTCATCGATTTGAGTCACAGATGCTGCCACATGAGTGTTTGAAAGAAACACCCAGAGATGGTCAAAGTAAGCAGCTAAGGAGTCTGTTCATGCCTCCAAGCTGTTGTGGGGCTACGTTTGAATCTAATCCCAAACCATGATCTTCTCATAAAACCGGCCAGGTGTGGGTTTGGAGCCTCAGGTCACTGAATTTCCACTGGAAAAGGTTTTAAGATGACAAAACGATATACTGCTGATACTCATAAAGATGACGTATGTTCCAGGAATGTACGTATATTTATACAAGATATAAAAAACAGGCCACCAGCTCCCAGAATAGGGAAACACAAAACTTTAGACACTGGCTGGAAATGGTGAGACTCACCTGTAGACTGAAAATAAAAGAAGAACACTAAATATCACTGGAAACGTTTTTAAAAAACATTAAAACTTTGGCTATTTCAGTCATGAGACAGCTCTATTTCTATCCACGATCCATGGTTATCATGTTCTTGTAAGGGATTTTTCCAAAATGGGTTACAAAGCTTTTTTTTTAATTATTATTATTTATTGCACCTTAAACTTACACCGAAAAGTATAGAAGCATTTCAAGACATGACCTGAAAGGATACTTCAGTCTCAGACAGGGATGCTTTTTGAAGACCCATGAATTTTTGGGTTTGAAAAAGAGAGCAGGAGAGCCAGAAAGAGTCTGTGTTTGCAGCTGATTCTGGATTAAAAGGACTCCAAAACTTCACCTGCTTCATGACAGAACACGTCCTGATAGGAATCTCGTCTGACCAAAGGATCCAAGGTGTCATAGTCCACCTCCACAGAGCTGCCGTTGTGCCACAGCTCTCTGCCTGCGCGGGGAAAGCGACAAAAGTCTTAGAAACAGCACACACACACTCAAAAACTGTTCAGCACTCACTCCTTTCTCTGTAGAATGAGGAAAATCTGGATGTGAGCTTTCATCTTTCTTTGATTTCTGGTCTGAGTCTGAGTCTGTGCGCGTGTAAACGTACTTCTTTGTGTGTTTTCTACAGTATCTCCAATCTAAATTCCAGTGAGATGTGTGTGCGATAACCCCTCGTATTGCTTCCTGTGGAGAAGCATGGAGCAGGATTGTTTGTGCAGACATGGCATGGGGTCCCACACTGCCCCCCCCTGGCAGCTGAACTCTGTGTGGGTGTATCAGTGTGAGTCACAGGTGTCTCTTCTGGTTCAATTAGGAGACGCCACAACACACACATACACACACAAAAAGCTCTGCCTTTGTTAATCTCTCCAGATGTTTGAATTAATAAGAACCCCTCAGCAAAAGAAAAACACAATGACCCTGTTCATCACAAATTTGCACAAAATGTTCCGCTTACAAGAAAAAACATGACTGAGCTTTTTGGAGGGTCTGTCAGAGATACTTGTAAAGTTTAATCTGCTCAGAAATCTGTTTCTAAACTTGTGGAAAACTGTTTCTGCAGATCGCCTGGTGGCATTTTAGGTAAAAGCTGCATGAATTTGAGCTTACATAGGTCAATCATAACCTTATTAGAGCAGAGCGACTGCCTGGAATGGCTTCATGTGAGCAAACACATACTTTTAATGGGCCGATTTTCATTTGTTTGATAAAAGAAAGCTTCATTGCACCTTTACGGGGAGTTAAGTTGTAGCAATCTTTGAAGAACCTATGTTGCATTTTAACTGCATTTGCAGATATTCTGCTAATACTAATCTGAAATGTCTTTAGGATTTTCATAAAGTGCTAAAGAGGTTATCAGAGAAGGAAAATATGGTCACATCAGTGATTTAAATGTGAAGTTTTAACATTATTATAGCGTTGGTGGTATAGTGGTTAGCATAGCTGCCTTCCAATCAGTTGACCCGGGTTCGATTCCCGGCCAACGCATTCTTCAAATAATTTCCCCTTGGAATTATTATAGTGATTCTGATTTCTGAAGTTCATTTGGTTTAAAGGGTCAACTTGGTGGGATTCTACCTGCTATCTTTTCAGGGCTTTCAGAGAAGAGCAGCTCAACTTTTCCACCATCTGGGAACCTAGGATCTGAAACATGGAGAGAGAAATCAGGCAGCTGGAAGCCTTTCCGTGCACGGCTTTCACAGTTAGTTCAGGTGCATGGGGAGTGGACACGCCAACAGATTTATCAGTTACAGATTACATACTGATAGCAGTATGTGGGGTGGAGCTGGAACAACAGTTGGCACTGTGCACCAAGCAGACCGCAGGTTATAAATACCTCTGCTGGCACAGTCAAGGTCCGCCTTGGAGAAAGAGAGGGTGTGTTGGACCACGACCCCCGTGTGAAACTGGAGGCGGAAGACGACCTGACGACTGGCCGACCGGCTGCCTTTATCATAGCAAACCACCTAAACTCGGAAAAATAATCAGAAAATAACAGTTAACAGCAGGGGTAAAAAAACTATGGTCCCTCAAAACCTGATTTTAATGAAATAGATCTCTCAGAAAAATTAAGTTTTTCAAAAGTCTGCCCATGTTGCATTGATGGGAATCAGGTGTGTCGAAGCAGGAAACATCTAAAACCTGCAGGACAGTAGCCCATGTGGAGTGTTTACACAGTTGTGATTTCAATTATTTTATTATTTCATTTAATTGCATGTTTACATTTCATGCATTGCGGCACCACAAACATATTTAAATACATTGATTGTCTACTAAATAAATAGATATCCTTGTTTTTTATTCCTAAAATGCACTGAAATTCACAACATTTCTCTTTGGTTTGCGGGGTGTTCTGTTTGAATTCACTCACAAGTGAACCAAGACGGGCCAGAGTCTTCTAAGGAAACAAACTGCTCCGTCTAAAGCACACCAACCAAATCTGCTGTAAGCCTCATGGCCACTAGACGGCCCCTTTGAGCAACTAAAATACTTTTTTTCTTCTCTCTTCTTTTCTTTGCCTTTGACTAAGTGTAGGCATGTGAATGATCAAAAATCAGGGTTATGGGCAGAGCATGCCACGGATTATTGGCCAGCTCTGGTTATAGATAGTCAGGACAAAACTGGCTTGTGTTTTCACAAGGGGTGTCAGTGATGTTGATGGTTCAAAGTTTGAATAGATAAATAATAAATAATAAAGCCTTAATAGCTTTTTCTGTTCATCTATTAAAACAAATTGTGACACTTAAAATTACCTTGTGACAAATTCCCATAAAGTGAACAGTTAGCCTGCACAGATGTTGTGAAGCAGTAGCTCCAGTGACCCAAACCAAACAAAAGACCCATTTGATGATGAAAAGCTGTAAACTTCCTCCTCACCATGATGTCGCCTTTGAGCAGCTGAGCCGGCTGAAGCACGAAGTAGAGCCGGTCTGTCTGAGCAGCATTAACATGGCTGAGATGGAGATAAACACAAATGACTTCTTCCTGTACTCGATCTAACAAAGGTTACTGTGAGAAAAGAGGAATTTCTTACTAAACCGCTGATGTACAGACAGCTTGCAGGCTTTGGTAGACCCTCAGGAAAAGACAGCATCCTAGAAATATCACAAAAGATGGTCAAGTCTAATCAGTTTGGAAGAAAAGGAGGATAAACTCCGACTAGGGGACTCCTGCTGCTTACCTCCGTCTGGTCTTAATTTGGGGAGACCGTGAAGAACAACACAGAGGAGGAAAGAGGGAGAGGGACTCATCCTGAGTCCTCTCTTCAGGAGGCATTCCAGCATCCACACATACCTACAGAGCACAGCTGAGATCAGAGGGCCCAATAAGAGCGGGTCTTTGAGCTCAGAGGGTCAGGTTCTCACCGCTTCTGCGAGGGCGTCATCAGAGCAGACACCTTGTCGTTGTAGAACCTCCTCATGGCAAAGTGGTCGAGAGAGAGGTCTGCACTGAGAGACGGGAACATGTTCAGTCTGTGCAGCCTTTAGTCAGTTCAGTTGAAGCAGATGTAATTTCATTTGATGAGGACCGTGCAAAACAGACTTTATGAAATTAATATTTCTGAAAAATATGTTAACTTTCCTTCCTGAGCGTTGTATCTCAAAACAAATAACTCCAGATGTTTGACTGGATTTTCCAATGTGCCGACGCTCATGCGCGCACGCATTTTGGTCACAATGAGATGTTTCACAACTATGAGTCAACCGATCGGCGGTGACTGGCATGCACACACACACACACACACACACACACGCAGGCGCTCGCAGGCTGAACTTTTCCAGCATCTCATGACATAATGAATGCAAACAAGTGTGTGCTTTAAACAGCTGACATTTGCCCCACGGAGTATGTATTCAAGCTCCAAGCTGTTGTGTTTACTTTTGGCTGGAAGCGGCCATCTTTTACCCTGGCACGCACGACAACGGGAAAGCCAAATGGCGTGTAGTTCAAAGTCTCCTTAATCAGCCCTGCTGCCCTTTGGCTTGTGAAGACGTGCACGAGATCAGCCTCCGTCTATTGTCCAGTCAGCGCTCTCTGATCCGCAAACACATCCAGCTGTTAGGGTCACTGTGGGACTTCTTTCCCTCCAGGAGGTGAAGTCTCACACGTTTCACCCGTGCGTGCATCAGAGGGGAAGTCTCCGCCCTTCCTGGCTGATGGTGTTGGGGGGCATGGAGCCCTGGGTTCTGCACCTGGCTCCCGCTTGGGTGGCCAGGGCCTGGTGGGGTCGGTGGGCCGTCGGCCCGTCTTCCTGGGGGGGGCCTCTGATCCCTGGCTTTCCTCTGCGTGGATGCATTGTATTTCCTGTGGTCTTGGGGACCTCTGGGGGGCCCTCTGAATCCCATCCCTAGTGTATGATCAGTGTATGGTTACTGTATGGACCACATGCACACATTATGTGCTCATGCGGTAGTAGTTGTGTCCATCACTATCCTCAGTTTTTTCCGTATTCTTACTCTTGCTGGGGTTTTTTTCTTCCTCTGTTTTGCCTCTTAGCAGGTGCTAGGGACGGACCCCCCCTCCGAGTTTCCCCACAGAGGCCGCATTTTTGTTTAATTGTACAGATGTAGCAGCTGTTTGTTGGAGATTGTCAGTCATCCAGGTCAGAGTGATCCTCAGAGCTTTGATAGAGGCAGCTGGACTTCTTCTTCTTGGATTGTGAAGGTGTTTCTCCTCTCATCCTAAAGGCCTCTTCAGTTCTGAACTACATTGTGAGGAGGATCAGCTTTTAGCAGAGAGAGCTGGCCTGCATTTGGATTTAAAAATCCCAGAGTTGAACCTCCAAACTCCCAATCAGTGAGAGTGTCCTTAGAGTCACTAAGAGGAAATATAGATTTTAAAAAAGACGGCAATGTCAATCCATAGACATGTAAAAAAAAAAGAACCCTCTTGACTGTTTTTTAAAAGAACACTTATGGAATCAATAGTATCTCTTAAAACAGGCCAACACTTAGATTTTTTGCTCTCTTCATGAAAAATGAGTTGCTAAATATCCCATTTAGCTAATTAACTGAGAAAGATTAGGATTTCCCATTTAAAAGTCTTGTAGGTTTTGCTTTTGCTGTGACTCCTTGTTGGGGGAAATCTGCAGAACTTTTCTCACGATGTTCATCAATGTTACCTGGCTGACATGTTGCTGAAGTGGATGTACGACGCCACCAGAAGGCCAAGCCGGCCTTTCCCCCCCTGCGGAGGAGGATCACACAGTCAGGGGATTTTCTAAAGAGCGTGTCAGCTGAGGAGTAGAGAGAGCAGCCAGGTTTACCCTGCAGTGTAACACCAGGACGTGCTTGGGATGACTCTGCAGCCAGCTCTCCATCGTGGAGCACACCCTGAAGATCTGATCCAAGCTGGGGGCCAGGAGATCCAACCAGCCTGTGTCCAGAACCTGAGACACCAAGCATGCACTTACACAGGACATCCATACAGGTTTGTAGCATCAGACATCCCTTTGTTTGGTTTTAAGAGGTTCAAAATTACATTGTGGCTCATTTTGGTGAGAGCTTCATGCTTCATGGAGAGGTTGATGAGCTGCATGAGAACAGAAGAATCAAAAATGTTTAGAAATCACTATTGACAGTGCAATACAAGATTATTGTGCATCCTTCATGCTTTACTGAGACTATTGGTTAAATGTAATTAAATAGCAGAATTTCCTAAATATTTTAATCACATCTACATCTAAAACCTATGTACAGGTGAGACAATTCATATAAATGAGTGAGCAAAACATACTCAATGTTTTACTGAGGTGCTAAGAGCATGTTATTTAGATGGATTTGTGCACATATTTGTGAATCCAGCTAGACTTCAGAGGAGTACCTTGAGGGATGACTATCCCACAGAACTCACCATGTAGTTGTGGCCATGCTTGGACTGCAGCATGGGAAGGATCACCTCCAGGTTCTGCTGGTACACGTCCTCTGGACACTCCGCAGGGCAGAGAATGGTGATGATGCGCTCAGTGATGTAATTTAGGTTGATTTGACGTATTTCTTCCATGATGGGTGTCAGTCACATGGGAGCCTGTGAAGAGACAGGGATGGATGCAGGGCGCGACCATAAATGTTCCGTTTAGTTTGGGGAAGTGAGACTGTTCCCAATAACTCAGCATTTATCTGAGCTGGACAGCCACGTGAGGCAGATTTCAAATCAGCTCAAATGCTGTCAGTGTGGATATGATTTTTAAACAAAGTAGGGCCAAGTTCAAATAAAAGCTTAGTCACTGGAAACTCACTGAGCTTGTGACTGGAAGATGATGGTGAGCCATCAGCTCAAAAACCTGAGTACGGATTCTGACAAAGGATGTCAAATATAAACAAGTCTTTGACCTCACTGAGTTCTTCATTTTGTTCACAGAAAAAGTTTAAAGACAAAGTTCTACATTTATTTTCTCTCTGCCAAGTTTATGATTTTCTTAAAAACTCTTGAAAAAGGAACAGGTAAGCCCTATGAAGTAGTAAGTTAGTAAAACAACATCTACCACACTGTTCGTACAGATTAAACTCTTTAAATGTTTAATGCTTCTTCATCTTAGGGTACATGAATTAGCTGTTTACTTTTATTTCAGTCCTAAAGATAGCAGATTTTATAAAAATTAATTAGCATTTATCAGATGATAGATTAGAGATTATCGTTAATAAGCAGATGAGATCATACTTTTGACCATGATCATGATAACGTCCGGATTTGACGCTGACCAAAAGGAGCCAAAAAGTCACCAGAGTATTAACCTTCCTGTGTGAATTTGAGCCTGAAATAAATGTGAGTCAGTTCTGCCTGTATAAATCAAATTTTACACTCTGTAATTAAATTAAATTTGGTACTTGTAGTTTTTATTTTTACTCATCGATGCAAAAACGAGTTTTGGTGAAGCCACGTGGACTTTTTGGATCTCCCATCTGACCTGGAAAATTTTTAATCTACTTCAACACTTTTCTACTATTTGCTCTTTTTCAACAATTTTCACAATTCTTAAGATAATGTTTCTCAGAATCTAATCTGAGATCCTGAAGAATGAGCATTCCTCCTACATTCTTGTGTAAACCATCAGCTCTCTGGAACGTGCTTTATGTCAGCGTGGATCGGAGAAATTGCATGAATTTTTTGGGAGTGAAACACACGTTGAGCCAGGGAGGCGCATACAGGGCAGTGGTTACCCTGCCCTTACCCTGACCATGTGACCGCCGCAGAGTCAACATTGATCCAATCATTTCCACGAGCAATACACATGATGCTCTGCAGAAAACTGCTGTTTCTGTCTCAGACCAAGAACTGGCCCGTTTTACATTTAATCTGGTGATGCAGATTATGTCCAAGCAACAAGTTATGTCCAATTAAAATCATGTCAGAGAATCACATTATTGGTTTATAATTGTTTATCTGTGAAAAAAGTTAAATCGTGTTTTGAACAAAAAACTGCTCTATATGGTTGCAGAAATTGTTGTAGTTTCTTTCCAGTTTGAGAAACATTTGCTCTTATACCAGAAGTGTGACATGAAACTAATTTGAAGGGATCCAAAGGAGTATAAATAATACACATATATTACAAAGACAGATCTGTCAGACATTGTAAAGGACACCATGATGCTAAGACTTAACATGAAAAAATCATACATTTAATGTATAGCTGAACTGATGCATTTATCCCAGTGAAATTAGAGTTAAAGTTTAAATAGCTTGAAATGTGATTAGAAAAGATTGCAGTTTCTGTGGCTATATTGTGTATCAAGTGTCATAATCTGGGTGCAAGTCAGACTACATAAATCAAATAAGGGATTTAAGGTAATAGTACTCATTCTAATTGCTTGTTTCTGCCAATGATTGGATCATTGAGTGGCCCTGTGCAAAGAGCATACCAAGAAGATTTGTGAATTTTACACAAAGGAATCGTGTTACACATGCAGTACCTCACATCTGTTTGGTCTAAAGTTCCATCTCTATCTTAAAGTTTCAGATAGAGGGTCACCAAATCTGTGTCATAGTCTCATGACATCTATTAATCCCTCACTGGCATCCTATATGATCAGTGAGGATGAACCAGAGGTTGCACCTGTTGACTGAAGCTGGCAGTTTTTAATCTTTAAAACGTACCACCACCTTCATCAAATCCTGTTGAACCAGTATGTTTTTATAATTCAGTATGAAAGGCAGAGCCAACGTTGTGAATATGGGAGGATTACTGATTGACATTACCATGAACAAGCCTATAGGTAAAAGGGGTCAGAGGTCAAACAGAGCTTGGGTTAAAAGTGACTTTAAGTGACTCTTGAGCTGAAATTGGTCAAAATTTGATTACAGACGAGCGATAAAAGTTTTTCCCTGATTACAGAGACACAAATTAATCTCAACTAAACACAAAATTACATAAAAACAAAAGATCACCTAGAAGAAATTAAAAGAGGCAACAGACAAGCCGTGACCACAAATACACACCAGAGAAACTTCAAAGATGGACCAGTGGCCTAAAATAGACACAATATCCTCAAAGAAATAACAGTGACAACAAAGAAGTACAGAAATAAAAAGGGAAAACAACTACACAATTAAAATGGCATAAAAATGGCTTTGAAAGATGGCATGAAAGATATTCATTGTTCATTTAATGTTCATCAAATATAAATACACTATATTTATCCATTCTGTCCAATATCTATTTATTCCTTTTTATAGTGATTCAAGATACATTGTTCACATATAATCATGTTTAAAATAACAGATTCCGTATGTACTTCTGTGAATTCAAATTCTCTAATTTTCTAATTTTCTATTTATTTTATGTAGTTTTATTTCATAGTAATTTCATTCCTTTGTGTTGGGTTCTATCTTTAATGTAACAAACTAACAAAAAGGAGTAAACCAAGACATGACAACACAGATTTAGACACAAAACCTCCACAAAGACATAGATAACAACCTCCAATGATGATATACAATTAAAAAGAAAGGCACGGCATGACTAAAAGAAAACAGATTCTAAAAAGGAAAATAAAAGGCCCAAAAGGAGACTTCAAAAGATTCAGACCATGGAGACCAATACAACTAAAATAGATGGAAATAATCCAAGCAATTACCAAAGAATTGTATCTTTAAAAAACTTTTTCTCAGTGGCTGTGATCTACACAGAAAGTCATATCCAACATCTAAAATCATCTTTTCTGGGTATGAACAAGCTCTCCGCAGCACCTCTGTTTTTGAGGGAGCCCTTCCTGGGAAAGTTGACAGGGTTGGGCAAACCATCTTAATGAGTGACTTCTCTCCATATTGTGTGTTTCTGGGCTGCTTTTCCAACATTTTCAACTGCTTCTCATCTAAATTTGTCAAGGCTCCTTTTGAGGAACCAAAACAAACGGAAGTGTGCAACTTAACCACACAAATGCATATACACATGCTGCTCTGCAAGTCCCTGAAACTGACCACATCTAATTATGACCTCCATACTTCATTTTAAAGCTTAGCTATCCATGCGTGTGCCCTTCTTTTCCCATCCAAAGTTGGCAGGAAAACATGCTTTACCTTCTACAATGCTGTAGTCTGACAGAGACTGTTTGGTTTTTAATTCAACTGAAAAAACATTTGAAATTGAAAGTGTGAAAAATACCAGAACTGAAATGATTCTCTATTGTTGTGGACGTTAGCCTCCAGTACCTAAACCTGTCCTCCCCACAAAGAAGAGACTGTCCATGGTTTCTTTTGCCTTTCCCAAACACTTTTTATTGGGGCATAAACTAATCCCATTTATCTTAACTGATCTCTAAAAGGACGTTTCATGTTGTTTTTCAGTGTATTTTTACAATCCTTATGCAAGAAACCACAGTTATAGTCATGAGAACTGAAGCTGGATCATATGCATTGTTAATAAGTGTGATTTCCTCTTCTTCAAAGGGAAGCAGGCTTTTAAAACTTAACACAAGATTAAAGGACCTCTTAAACTGGACTGAATCCCAGTGTAAACACGTCTGCGTGGACTCAGTTGCTTAATATGTCAGCAGGCTAATCTCTGCATCTGTGGGGGAGATATTTTTCTCTGGTAATCCCCCCTCCAGCCTCCATCATGAGATTTACCGGCCATCACAGGCTTTTACTGCAGTGGCTGCTGAAGAAGAGGCTAACTTCAACAAAGAGCAGGTCAACCTTAATCTAATCTTTTCTTTAGCATCTCAGAAATGCAACAGAAAGAGGCTTACCTTGGCTGCAAAAACAGAACTTACATTCATAGCTCTTGAGGCAAGAAGAGTGAAAGTCTGTGTGACTGGTATAAAAAATAAGGTGGAGACTTCATCGTAGGTGGGAGGAGGCAGGAAGGGGAAGGAGAGCAAGAGAAATAGCTTGATGAATGGTAATGTTACAGCACAGCTTGCACATTGCCCTCTGTCAGACTGCCATGTGACAAGAGTCCACCCCTGTCTGTGTAAAAGACAGTTGGAATAATCCAACAGACACACACATGAGGTGATAAAACTGTTTTATCTCCCAGCCCTCTGTGCGGCTTACAACGACATTAAAATTCACTCTAGATGTGACTAACTACAATATAAACTAATTTTGTTTGTTACTAGAAAAAGATCCAGAAGTCGATAAGAATATACAAAACTCAAGTGATCATTCCGTATTAAGTCTGGCTTCAGGAATAGTTCTCCAGGCTCCTTGAAGGACATCCCAAAGCTCTTCTTTGGATGTGGGCTGCCTTTTATTCCGTTCTCTGTCAGATGATCCACACTGCTTCAATAATGTGGAGCTCCGGCTCTGGGGAGGATTCATCCCTCCATCAGACTTGTTGCCACAGATTTTCAGTCCACTTCTTGTGTCACTGGGCAGAGCTCAGCCTTTTCTCCCTGTTTCTCTTCCTTAAGAATGGATTCTTGACAGCCCCCCTTCATGGAGAGCATTTCTGATGAGGCTTGGCCCAGATGATCAGCTGAAGGTCCAGATGCATCTCTCAGCTCCTGTGTCAGGTCCTTGCTGTATTTTTTTGTCTTTACTCAGGACATCACTGTCAGATCCTCTCCTTCTGATGTAGATATTTTTTTAGGCCCAACACTTCTTCTTTTGTCCTCCACTTGTCCACTTTCCTCAAATGTTTTAAGGATACACTGTACAGCATGCTGAGATATGCCCTTTCAACTGATAGCTAATTGAAAATTGGCATGATATTGTCTGCAAACATAGTATTTTCTCTTTCAAAATGCGTTACATATAATTTCATTATTCATGCGGATAAAATTGTAATCAATCTTTGAGAACTACAAAATACATGTAACAAAGTAATCAGGTGACAAACATCATCCTTATAATTGAATATGCAGCCAGCTGCCATTTGATGATGACAGACAAATTAGAATTATGTTAAACTCTAAGAAAATATACGTAGAAAATACAAATGCAATAAAATCAAACCGTTTCAAATATCTATCTAACATGTAGAAAAACATACCCAACATTTAATTATTAGATAAATGCCATTTTTTGGGCAATGATTAACAGATTATTAGAAATGAACCTTTCAAAAAACCACACCATGTTCATTTGAAAAATAAATGACTTATTTTGTTGTTGTTACACGTGGTAATATGGTCTAAATCCCAGCAGATGGCACCAGCACCCGAGTTAGGCGTAATTTGCGTCTTCCAATTAATGAGAATAATTACTCATTTGCTTGTATATATGGGCGTATTTTGATAGTAAATTCCAATCATAAAATAAAAAATGGGTATAGTGGTTTGGTTTACAACCTTTAAGAGTGTATTGGATTTACAATCGTGTACTGTAAGTGAGAGTTATGTTGCCTTCACTGACTTATTAAAGCTCGTATAATCCAACAGCGTTAGAATAGTTGATGAATCTATTTAAGGCTTATCTCGATATTGTTATTTTATATTTAACCACATCTAGTTTAATACGATTCAGGATACTGAATACATCGATCACAACAACTGAGAGGCTAAAGTTGTGAAGACTGATAGAGACGGACATTTCCTTGCCGTTCGTGAGGTATCATTTTGCTAACCGATAAAGAGTTGTTTTCGTGATTTGCTAAACAAGCAGAGTAAACTTCATAGGTGCATTCTCGGTAAAAGTACCGTGAAAACGTCAGTCATATCACAAAACAAGAAAATCCCGAGCATTCTGATAGGTCTTGAATGTGTCATAATTCATATCCAATGAGACCCCGCCCTGTCCACAGTGTACTGCTGACCGTTCGTGTGTTCGGGTATTACAGTCGCGCCTTCTCGCGTTAGCTTCTATGGCGACCAGGTTTATAACCGTTCTCCCTCGCCCAACTGACCGGTTAGTTCCTATTTGAGGGCTAATGAGCGTCCAGTGCAATGGGATGATGTAGCGGGATAACTCCATGGAAGAACTGCGCAGTACCTTAGCATGCTAAGCTAACCTGGAACCATAGACAAACTAACCAGTAACTAGACCGAGCTAAAGGCTCTAAGCTAACGCAGGCTAGCGCTCACCTGCGGGTGTTCCCGGCGTCGCCGTTGCCTACTAACAGGATGGAAAGTGTGAAAGAGAACGACTCTGTAACGCTTTCGGCTTCACCGGCTCCACAGGGGACCCATGACCCGAACGGTGACAGTAACCCCGCGAAGCCAAGTGGATTAACGCCGGTTAAGAGACCCTCCATCGGGGACGATGAAGGCGGGGGCGCGGAGGCGAAACTCTTCGGGAAGGGACTGGCGGCCACCTCCCTTCTCCAGATAGCGATAAGGAACGGGATCTACCAAAACCAAGTTGCCAATGCTATCGGCGGCGCGGCGAAAAACATGAGCATGCCCGCCGTCAGCAGCACCGCTTCGGTCAACTCTCTGCTGAGCAGGAGGCGGCACAGACACAAGCGGAACCTGTCCCTGGGGGCTCCGCCGAGCGCCGGCTCCCCCGGGGCGTCCTCCGCCGAGCCGGCCGGCCCCGCTCCCTCAGCCTCCCCGCTGAGCACCCTCAGCCTGGACAGGAAGACCTTCCTCCGGCAGAAGCAGTCCAAGCAGCTCCAGGCCTCTGACAAGTCGTGGGTGAGAGCGGACCTCCGGCGGGGGTGCATTCACGTCCACGACTGGCTCACGCCCTCCTACCCGCGACCGGTGCTGTGCACGGTGGACACCACCGCCAAAGAGCTGGTCAGTAAGCTGGAGGGGAGCAAAGCCGGGGCTGTGCTGAGAATAAACTGCAAACCGTCTGCTGTAACCGACCTGAACGGCCTTGGTAAAGATATGAACGGACTTTCTGTTGACACCGACAATGTGGATGTAAAGAACGCCAGCTCTGAGGATGGGGAACACAGCAAACAATGCTACCCAGATGTTAACCTGCCATCCAACCTGCTGCATGACAAAACAGCCAGTAACTCTTCATCTGAACTCTATCTGAACGACATAGGGGTGGATTTGAGCCTGGGTGGGGCAGATTGTTACGGGGTGTACTCTGGTTCGGACATTGAGAGCAGCACCTGTGAGGACTTCAGCCCCGGTGGACCCAGGGGCGCGGAGCACCGTGATGGAGACTCCCTCAACGACGGGCTGGGTTTGGGCACCGACTCCCCAGTTTTGAGTGCAAACACTGACAGCGCCACAGAGGATCCTGACCTGTTTGAGAGCTCCTCCGATGAGGTGGAGCTCACCTCCTCTCCAACTCACTCAACTGACAACTCTGCTGACCAGCAGTGGGACACCGGCAGGGCTTCTAGCCAAGGCCCGAGGCCAGATGACGGCGGTGAAGCCGGAGATAATGCAGACACCCCCACATCAATCAAACCTCCCTCTAAATGCCCTAGCAGCTCCCAGGCTCGGCCCCTGACCAGCCAAGCACCTGCCCAGCCCGACATGGAGATCCCAGGGGATGGCAGAGGATGGCCCGAGCCCATCAATCCCAGTCCGACCCCGGCTCTCTTCATCCAGCTGCACGGGGGAGCCGTACGGAGGCTGGGAGATGACGAATTGCCCCTACAGATCTTAAAAGAGTACCTCACCAATCTGGGGTTTGAAGACCCTTGGAGGGTGCAGGAGGAGGGGATGAATCCAGAAATCGGCTGCCTGATTCGCTTCTACTTTGGTGAGTTCTTTGGGGGGGGGGGACCTGTTGAGACTGAGAGGCACTTCTGCTGGGTCCGGTTTGTCCCCGCTCGGCCATTGTTCTCCCATTCTCAGTGTACCGTGAGTGCTGCCTTTGTGTTTGGTCAGTTGGAGTGTTAAACGAGTGTTTTCAATTGTCCCGCGTGAACAATAGCCAGCGTTGTGCCCGTAAACCCTCTCCAGCCCCTCTGTGTAAGACGACACATCAGTAAGTTACAGGTGACCTCTGTCAGCTCGCCACGGGCCGAAGCCTCGGCCCTCACAGATTCAAACCCATGTTTTTGTTTTTGCTCTCATCGATGATCCTGTTTTGCTGTCGAGCAGTTTAAGAGGATGGAAAAAAATCACCCATGATCTCTTGTGGGATTAGCACAACTGGATATTGTTTTTGACCTTGTTTTGCACCCCATCATCACACACAGACGGGATAAAGAGTCCGACCTAAAAGCTTTGCTTAAATTTGGGCTAAAATTATGGCATTTCACACACATTCCCCCTCCAGTTTAAAACAACTCAGCTGCGCTTCTCTGGTCTGTTTTTAAAAGCATCCAAAACACTATTTTAGGGTTAGTATTTGTTTTATGGACTAATAGTTAAGCCTGATATAGCCCTAGAAGGCTGGAGTGGCATAGAAACACGAGGAGAGCAGGGCTGCTGAGAACAGACACACATCCAGGCGTGAAGCGAGCCATGAGAGGCCGGTTCATGTGACTGGCGTGAGGAGAAGTGCTGCGATTACACAATTTGACATCTATTTATCTCTGCTTATCGCCTCCTTTCCCTCGAGGCTGTTTGGAGAAAGTTTCCAGACTTGAGGGATTCAGGCCTCCTCCATATAGCAAAAGGTTTGACGTATTTGGGGCCGTGCCAGAGGAGATTGACCCAGCAGAAACCCCACCTGCAGCATGCACACTGCCACATGCACGCTCAGACCCGCAGTGTGCTGACAGGCAGAGAGAGCTGGAACTCGGATTTCACCTCCTCAGTGGTCCGGGTGTGGTTGCAGGCTCCGCCTCAGCCAGAGGTCACTGCTTTAGGTCAATAGGTGGGACGCTGGTCCCTCTGTGTCGGTGGGAACTGTGTCACTGATCTGGCGCCTGGCGGGGGGGGGGGTGGGAGTTGCTCATCGCATTCAAGGACGCGCGTGCTTGTTGGAACATGATTCACGGTGAGGTTTAGTTTAAGAATGAACAGGGCGTCACCGTCAGCTGCTCGATGCGACAGGAAGTCCCCCATTCTTACAAACTGACGGAAGGGAAGGGCCTGAGTATGAACACACCGCATCTCGCCCGCTCCACCAGGAAGGGTGGCTGAAAGTGGTGTAAACTAAAACCAGATAAAGTCTTGTATCAAACATAAGAACTGAACAAATGTATTATTCCAGCAGCAGAATAACTCTGTATGTTCCTGTGATGGGCAATACTCCAGTTTGTAGAAACTCTTCAGCCCATTTTATATGTTAACACTGATATAGAATTGTAATTGTTATCACTGCATTTTCAAATATTCTGTTTTATGAAAAGAAAAAAACAAGAGCATTATTATTTGTGATAAAGATGTCAAATTCGATTCTCAAATTTTCTATGAACTGAAAAGATTGTTATAGTGGTTTTGTGTTCTGCTTGCAAATTCTAAGGCCAGTCAGCTGTCTGAAACTTGGGGAGAAAAGAGGAAATTGGGTTTGAAATCCCAATTAGCTGATGAGGGTGAAATACTGACACGAAATCAACACGAGGACAAAAAGACATAAAACCATCACAAAGCCACACAAAACTATGAACCAAGAGACATCATCGGCTGAGAACTGTTCATACTCTTTCATTTATTATTCAAAATAATCAGCCAATCAAAAATATCCCCTTCTGTGTTTTAGGACTGGAAAATCCAACGTCAACTAAATGTTTCCCCGAACCAGCAAATCTCTGTTTAAAAGTGATGTCTTTGCTGATATTTTCATCCTCAGAGCTGTTACTCTCAGCTGCTGGGTGTTAAGACAGAGCGCTCAGAAAAGACACTTTCATGTGGGCAGACCTTTGAATGAGCTATAAAAAGCTTTCAAATTATGGATGGCAGGCCTCTTAAAGCGATTTTTAAGCAGAAGGAAAAAGGACGTCATTTAAAGCGATGATGGTAGTGGTGAGGTTTGTGTCTCCTGTGAGACTTTGAAGCCAAATGAGACATTAGCTCAAATTGACAGGAATATTTTTAACCTATTTTTAATCAGTGTCTCTCTTTGTTATATAGTACTTGATCCTATTTTGTCATGGACTTTTTAAAATAATCTTTTAAAGATTTTAATCTCGTTAAAAGAAATGGCAGAAACTATCCTGAAAAGGACAAAGCACCGAATGTATACTCTGGTTTGGGGCATTTTTAGGGCCTTTATTGCTAATAGAAGGAAGGTTTTAAGTGGCTGAATAATATGAAAGCACAGATTTAGTATTTGGTGGATAAAAAAATCTGTGATTTTGACTGATAAACTACTGATTTATGGACATTACCTTCAGTTGAACTAACTGTAGTGAGTTTCTTTGATTGTGCAGTATGATTAGATATGAAATGGTAAATCATATAATTGAATTCATGCAGATAAGTTCTGCTTTACTCTGAGATAAGAAAATGCAAAAAAAGCTTAAGCCCAAAAAGTGTCAAGAGCCTTAATTTATGCCTTTCGAATGAGCTTCGAACTGGACTTTTAGCCTAGAACTTCTGGTGTTAAACAGAGGAAACAAAGCACCAAAGTCCTCAGAAGGGGCCTCCCCATCCTGAGGGGGGGGGGGTGTCCGGACGAAGAGCAGAGAGGATGGGAGGCGCTGGTGTCGGAAGACGTTACATAACAAGCTAATCTGATTTCAGGCCTCTTTGCGCCTCAGTCTCTTCATGTGTCTCCCTTTCTCTTGTCACTAGTGGATGTGGTCTGACAGCCAGTTTCAGAGTAATCTGAAGCCAGGGGGGCCGAGAGGACGGGCCAGACGCAGCAGGAGCGTTTTCTGGCCCCTAAACTGAACTGCGGTCTGTTTCTTGTTGTTAGCGGGGAGTTAATAATGTAACAAACCATGCCTGAGTGAGCGGCCGCTCAGGCGGCACACGGGCCACCGCGCTCTTACATAACCCCGCGGCTCTCACTTTCCTGAAGAGAAACCCCGCAGATCGGAAAACAAAGCCGCCCCGTGTCCTCAGATCCTTCAGAAAGAGTGGAGGAATGCTAAATCTCCCCTCACCTGCCCCCTCACAGGTAAGCCGCGGAGCGTGGGCGGCTCCGAGCGCGTGCAGCTGTCCGGGGTGTTCAACGTGCGGAAGGGGAAGCTGGCGCTGCCCGTCAACCGCTGGTCCAAGCGGCAGGTCACTCTGAGCGGGACCTGCCTCATCGTGTCGTCTGTCAAGCACGCCCACACGGGGAAGATGCACATCCTGCCCCTGATCGGGGGAAAGGTACGCTGATTTACCCCACACACGTCACCTGAGTGGTTCCACGTGAGTGAGGCCCTATCAGGGAGAAAAAGGACACGTTTAAAAGGTAGTCGGACTGGATAGTTTGGAGACTCAGATTTCTTCCTGTCTGCAGGTGGAGGAGGTGAAAAGGCACAGCCACTGTCTGGCCCTAAGCTCGGCCGGCCCTCAGAGCCAGACCTACTACATCAGCTACGACTCGTACCCCGAGCACCTCCGCTGGCACCGCATGGCCTCCAAGGTACAGACAGCCAGTCTGGGGCCGTCCGTCCTCACTGACTTTGAAGCTCCTTCTCAGCCACAGAACAGCATTTGAATGCTTTTCAATGCTGCCACTATTAACACAAACTTTCTCACCCAGCTCTCCATTTTAACTTAAACACGTTCAAATTATTTTCCGTCTAAGTTGTAAAACAGGTACTTGTTTAATTGAGAGTTAAACCAAACTTTTTTTCTGTTGCTTGATTCCAAGAGTTTAACATGAATCATCACTCATCATGCTTTTTGGGGTCGAAAAACTTGTCTCTGTGCTGGTGCCCCCAAAGGTCCTGCAGTTGTGTCCATGTACTTTGTCCATTTACTACTTTGGAACATAAGTGTACCTGTCAGGGCCTTTAAAAGTACTAATATGTGCCTTTTGATCAAGGTATTAGCAATGTAGGGCACATAAATCAAAAAAGTATTCCCTATTGTGTCCCTATATCTGACAGTGAATGGCGCCACTCTGGCTGGTGTGTAGATCTAGTTTTTACCCAGACTGAGAGTGGCAATAGTGTTGTTGTGGCCTTCGTCTCTGTTGCACTTGCGCCGAGTGAGCTGCTGATCAGATATTAGAGTCTGTTGGGTCACAGGAAAACCTGCCAGATCTCATATTGTGCTAAATGAATTGATACTAAAAGGGTGAGAGTAAACCGAGCTGCTCTCTGACAGCACAGATTCAGCATTAACAGCCTCTGCTCGCCCTGTGAACACACACCAGCTCCGTCTCTCCGTGCTGATTTTAGGCTCACAGTCTAAAAAAAAAAAAAGAAAGTGGTTGCCGTGTCCTGTCCTTTTAACGTTTTTTATTGACAGTCCTGAGGTACAAGACTGACTGTAATTCTGAAATTTGCCTCTGTTTGCTTTATTTTCCACTCTGCTGAAGAATGCACTTAGAATCTTACCTTTAATGACCTTTACAAGGTTTTTACTGCTATTAAAAGTTGCCAATGAGACAAATGCATCTCCTGTTTCAGCTCATGAATTATTATATCGATATATTTTGTATATTGAAGGTATTTTCATAGCTTGGCGTTCCTGTCTGTTAAAACCCGCCTTTCTGTCCCCCCCCGTGTTTCAGATCGCCTCTCAGAGGGTGAACTCGGTCGACCTGTCCTGCTGCAGCCTGGAGGAGCTGCCCGCTCAGCTGTTTTACAGCCAGGACCTCACCCACCTCAACCTCAAAAACAACTTCATGTCCCCCCACAGAGGCGTTCCAGCTCTCACCAGGTGAGCCCCTGCCCCCCGGTCCCTGGGAATTTGCTGCATTTTCCTGATTGCAGACCCCCCCCTCCCCTTCTCCTTTGTTAAGTGTCAAAAGAGGAAGCAGCTCTTATCGAATTACAGCTGAAGTGTGTTTGTGGGCGGCCGTGTGCTTTGAATGATTAAACCAGAGCTGCGGACGTTGCCTGGCCTCAGGGGTCTTTGAGAGAATCTACTGCTACCTTTAATTTACAGATATTTTCCACCTATATTTAGATCAAGTGGAGGAAAGTTTCCTTCCTTGCCCTGTGTGTGTCAGAGGAGGGTGGCTGTGGCTTTCACTGCGGTCCTGATCAGGTTTCAGACTTGGCAGGCGCCGCCTGTGAAAGCGCTCTGCCTCCGTTGACTCATCGCTCGTTGGTGACGAGCTCCTCGGCAGTTAGCTGTGGCGTTAAGGCTGAAATCCACGCGTCGTGTTTGGAGTCGAAACAAACGTGGGTCTGCTCTCCAAACCGAGCCGCTGCTGACGTCAGTGAGGCAGAAATGTGCTCAGACACTGGTTTGGCCTTTGCACAGGCTGGTAGTGAGAGCTGTTGTCCAAAGACTGAACGCTGAGCAGATCGGCTGTCATCTGACCAGACGCTTTTCTCTCTATTTACTTTTGGTTTTGCTAAGAGAGCCTCACGTCAGAGTCTGACAGTGACATGATGGAAACGTTGGCGTATATGCAGTGTACACACGGCCATTGTTTCTGCATAAACAGGCGCTTCCCAGCCGGGGTTTTTTCCCTGTGACTTTCCCTCGGAAGGACGTGGGTCCGGCTTGGCCCTCCGCCCGTCCAGGTCACGGGGCGGTCGTGAACTGGATGAGCTGCTCCCCCACCTGATGGACCCCCCGCATTGTTCCCGCCGTTTACCAGAGAGCTGTCGGGTAGTTTAGGAGTTTTGTTTTTGCCCCTGCCTGATTTAGAAGGAGGTCGGGATCTGATTATAGTCCAGAGCTGAATATCAGCCCGTGCCTTTGTCTGTCCTCCTGCCTCTGCCACTCTCACTCGTTCTCTTTCAATTCCCTATAGGTTTTGTAAGCTGAGAAGCCTCAGCCTGTCCAATAACGGTCTGTCTGAGTTTCCTCTGGCCCTGTGCGACTTCACCTCGCTCACAGAGCTGAACCTCTCTGGAAACCGCCTCTCTAATCTGCCCGTGGAAGTGGGAACTATGCAAAAGTAAGTACGGTGGGCTGCAAGGATACATGACAATGAGCCGAATGTGTCCTCGCTGACCTGTACGCTCCTCAGTCAGGAGTCAGAGGCACTGCAGATTATTGTCTCTGTATTAAATGAACAGCTGGCTGTGTACCAGACACGTGTCCTGACAATGCAGAGGCTGTTTGGCCACAATGCAGCCATGCTGACACCACCTCTGCCTGATGGATGCACAAGAGACATTTTCTGTCCTAGCTAAACCCACAAAAACCTAAAAAAGACGGAGATATTTAAGCTCATAAACATAGTGATTTTTACCACACTTTATCTGAAAAATGGCTGTTCGGATACATCCTCAGGCATGACAGCATGTGCACGGATAATTTAGGGAGCATGTGGGATACTGAGACTCTTTGCATATTTGATTTGGTGAAAAGAATCATGGCATTGTGTTTTTTGGGGATAATTATGAGACGGCTGATGCTGATGATGAGCAGCGCCAGCTTGTTCTGTGAAAGGAGTGTTTATTATGTAGAAGAGTCAGAGTTGGGGTTCTGTGGTGGTTTCTGCTGTTTGGAGCGGGGTTACTGGAACTGACCCCGTGTTTCTGCCCAGCCTGCAGACTCTCCTGCTGGATGGGAACTTTCTGAGCCTGCTGCCTGCTGAGATGGGCTCCCTGGAGGGTCTGACCTACCTTGGTTTGTCCTTCAACTGCTTCAGCAGCGTCCCCCCCGTCCTGGAGAAGCTCAGAGGCGTGGAGAGGCTCTGCTTGGCAGGGAACCAGCTCTCTGTCCTGGATCTGGCCGAGCTGCAGTGGCTGCCCGCTCGCTACGTGGATCTCAGGTAGGAAATCTAGTGGGAGGTGCTCTTTGATGCTGAACTGGAACCGTTTCCCAAGATAATCTTTCTTATACCAGGCGTATTTTGGACTGTTTCCACCTGTTACTTAGAAAGTGACGCTATTTTTGTATCATATAAGTCATCTGTTGGCTAAAAGTCTGTTGCTCTTCTTTTCTTAACGACAATTTTAGGGGCTTTTTGTTGATATTTGCAGCTGTAACGTGCATGTTTTACCTCAGCTTCTCTCCTGCCCATTTCTGACTTCCTCTCCTCGGCCTCTTCCTCGTTCAGGCTGAACCGGCTTCAGACGGCGACGGTGGCAGACGCAGAGCAGCTGTGCCACGTGGTCCAGCTGGACCTGAGGGATACCAGTCTTCAGGAGCTGGACGTCCGCTCTCTCTGTAAGCTGGAGCTGCTCCGCTGTGACAGAAACTCTCTGTCCCTGCTCAGAGTCAGCGGCCACGCCCTGAAGGCTCTGCACGCCACTCGAAACGGTACAAACTCCCTCAACGTGCTGCCGAGACATGAAACCATGCATAAACTTACACATGTGGCCTTTGCGTTTGCAGAGCTGAAGCATCTGGACGTGGATCCTGTCCCAGAGAATCTGACTGCCCTGGATCTGTCCAGGTATGAAAAATGCTGTGGCCATGTCCCAAAGAGCAGGACGGCTTCTTCTTCCCAGCTGCACGCTGAGCCTGTTTGTCTTAAAGGAACAAGCTGGGATCCATTCCAGACTGGGTGTGTGAGAGCAGCAAGCTGGAGGTGCTGGACATCACCCACAACTGTGTGACTGAGCTGCCTGTAGGGTGAGCAGCGCTTTGTTCTGGACGGCTTTCAGCCAGCATCCCACTCCCCGTCACATCTATACCCCCTCAACCCTCCGCTACACCTTCAGTTTGGGTCTTTAGATACTTATATGACCAAATCCTTTATTTAGATGGCCTCCAGTCATTGTTTCATTTCTTTCTAGAACAGGGGACATGGAGTTTATTTTCTCTGAATAGTCCCTTCATAGCTGTTTCCAATATAGTTCTCCTCATGCCAGGAAAGCCCCCACCCCGAGGCAGGAGAAAAAAAAAGGTTGTAACAGTCAAGTTAAATGAACAATCACACAGAACGTAAAAGCGAACCACCTCTGACTGCTGAGCTCCTCATGTTCCTGAACCGAAAGCAGAGCTTACAGGGGTGGGGTGCTTCTCACCAAAAAGAAGGCCAGTTTTATCTGTGACTTTCCAAATGAGATCAGACGGAGCCCCTGGCCTCCATGTAGTGTAATAGCTGGGGAAAGAGCCTCTCTCTGAGCCTGCGGGTGAACTCATTGACTCTCGGGGGATGCAGGTGTGTCTGAGCCGGCTGTGTTTGTGTGCAGGCTGTTGTCCAGCGGGAGTCTGAGGAAGCTGCTGGCAGGCTGGAACGATGTCAGCCGGCTGGCGGAGAGGATGGAGAGATCTCAGCTCGAAGTTCTGGACCTCCAACACAACCACCTGACAGAGCTGCCACACAACCTGTTCATCACGGCTCAGAGGTGCTCCGCCCGCCATCCGCCGGCCTGACGGCTTACCCTGACCCCACCCCCCCGCAGTTTTTTAAAGTTTAAGTGTGTTTGGGTTTCCTCACAGCCTACGATACCTGAACGTGTCGGCCAATAAGCTGGAGGACCTCCCTGCAGCCAGCCTGTCAGAGGACGCCTTCAGCAGCCTGGAGGAGCTCTATGTGACCAACAACAGCCTGACCGATAAGGTGGTGCCTCTGCTGACTGGACACAGCCACCTCAGGGTGCTGCACCTCGCCTACAACCAGCTGCAGACCTTCACCGCCAGGTGGCGCACACCAACAGCTCGGTTTATTACAGGCGGATGAAGATGCCCTCTCGTTTCCCTCCTTACTGAATCTCCGCTCTTTTGGCCGTGTGTCCCTCAGCAAACTGGCTCAGCTGGAGCAGCTGGAGGAGCTGGACCTGAGCGGCAACCGGCTGAGAGCCGTGCCCACCACCATCCTCAGCTGTCAGCGCCTCCACTCGCTGTGCGCCCACTCCAACTGCATCAACACCTTTCCCGAGGTCCTCCAGCTGCCCGAGATTAAGGTTCGCCTCATTTCTTCCTCTCATGTTTGCTACATTGTTGTATTTCCATCAACACATTGATTGGTATGAGGCGCTTATTGGTTTCTTTTTTTAAAGTTAGTGGTTAGGGTTAGGACAGTTTTTAGAAAGCATAATTTCAGTTCAGTCCAACAGGGGGTCTGGGTTTGGTAGGCAGAGAGCTGGGTGTCATCCACACACAAGAGATATTACATGGTGGGGGGTTAATGATATACAGGGAGGGGCTCCAACAGGGGTGACGGCCATGATTCATCTCGTTTTCGTAAAATGTATCCTGTGATTTTATGATTATTTTTGTTCTACTTTTTATTTTTTTATGCCTGTGCTCTTCGACAACGTTCTAACATTATCTGTGTCATTTTAGCCTGAGCTCACTAACCTGCCTCCACAAACTTTCTTCTTTCTTCTCAGTTGGACAATTCTAAGCTACTTCTGATAGAAATGTATTATATCCTGACCAATATGAGCTCCTCTGTGTCGTCAGTGTGTCGACTTAAGCTGCAACGAGATGACCGAGGTGACGCTTCCGGAGTCGCTTCCTCCCAAACTCCAGGAGCTGGACCTCACAGGAAATCCCCGACTCAACCTGGACCACAAGAGCCTGGAGCTCCTGAAGTACGACCCGCACGGATAAACGCTGTGCAGCGGGGAAAGGGCGTCCCTCTGATCTCTGTTTTCCTCCTTCTCTGCAGCAACATCCGCTGCTTCCGGGTGGATCCGTCGCCCTCGGCTCCGTGTGCGAACGACGGCCACGGCGGCCCCTCCGTGTGGAGGCACGGCTACACCGAGGCGTCCGGATTCAAGAACAAGTCAGTCTGCTCTCATTTTCTGACACGCCTTCTTCAAACTTCTCCCATCATCCGGGGTTAGATGGTTGCGGATTGGCTGACTGTGAGCAGGAATGACTCTCTGCCTGCTCTTGTGGCTGATGCTCTCAGGCTGTGCGTGGCAGCTCTGGCCCAGGACAGCTTCTGCGGCGTCCGCGAGGCTCTGTACGGGGTGTTTGACGGGGACCGGAACGTGGAAGTGCCCTACCTGCTGCAGTGCACCATGGGAGACGTGCTGGCGGAGGAGCTGCAGCGGGGCCAGAGGCAGGAGGACTACATGAGCAGCACCTTCCTCACCATGCAGCGGTAAGCGCCGGCCCCCGCCGCCGGCCCAGCCCCGGGTGACCAGGGCTCACTCTGTGCCGCTCTGCTGCAGGAAGCTGGGCACGGCGGGCCAGAGGATGGGCGGCTCGGCCGCTCTGTGCCACATCAGGCACGACCCGGTGGCGCCCGGCGCCGAGCACGCCGGCTGCTTCACGCTGACGGCCGCCAACGTGGGCAGGTGCCAGGCCGTGCTGTGCAGGGACGGCCGGGCCGTGCTGCTGTCGGGCGTCCACACCGTAGAGGAGGAGTCCGAGTACCAGCGGGTCCGACGACACAACGCCATCATCACCGAGGTAACGCCGGCCTCAGTTTTATTCCTAAAGCGCCAAATCACACGTCATCAAGCATACAGTCCAATTTAAGACAGATAGATACCAAATAATTCAATACAATTATAATCCAATCAGTTCCAATTCACAAGATTCAAAATGAGTCAGATTCATTCGGAGCCAGTTAAAAATAAGAAAAGTTTCCAAGCTAAGGAGCAAAGGGGGCAGAGAGGGAAGAGGTGCATGCTGGGTGCTCCCCCTGCAGTCTGGGCCTATAGCAGCAGAACTGTGGGATGTTTCAGGGTCACTGAGCCATCTCATACTATAAACCCTGAAGCCTGATCTTTACAGTACAAAGGGGTTCTGCTTCCTGAACCCAAACTGGCAGCTGGCTCCACAGAGAGGGGCCTGATACCTGAAGGCTCCGCCTCTGTCCTCAATTAGTTCTTCATTCTAATTTAGGACAAAGTTTTCTGAAAATGAGCTCTTTACGTATTAAATTCATCTAGTTTAGATTTTTGGGTCACAGATCTCCAACTTAACAAAGTCATAAGCGGGAGCATCTTCCCCTTTCTTCTTCTTCTTCTCTGCAGGATAACAAAGTCAGCGGTGTGACGGACTCCACCAGGATCTTGGGGTACTCCTTCCTCTGTCCCTCCGTCACGCCCTGTCCCCACGTCTCCACGGTAACACTAACGCCACAGGACGAGTTTTTCCTCCTGGGCAGCCGGGGATTGTGGGAGCTGCTGTCCCCCGGGGAGGCCATCGAGGCGGTCAGGAACGTCCCGGACGCGCTGGCCGCCGCCAAGAAGCTGGTGACGCTGGCGCAGGGCTACGGCTGCCCCGACAGCCTGAGCGCCGTGGTGGTGCAGCTCAGCATCACCCAGGACTGCTGCTGCTTCTGCGAGCCGCCGCCGCCCCCGCCCAGCCCCGGCCCCGCCGCCCACGCCGGCGCCCAGCCCTACTCGTCCGGCGGCGAGGGCGGGCTCCCGCTGCCGCCCGCCTCCTCGGGCACCGCCAGCGAGCTGAGCAGCGAGTTCAGCACGTCGGAGATGAGCAGCGAGGTGGGCTCCACGGCGTCCTCCGAGGAGCCGGCGCCCCACGCCGAGCAGCCGGGCTCTCAGCCCCCCCCGCAGGGCCGGGCGGCCGCGCGCCGGCCCGCCTGCGGGGGCGGCGGCTTCCAGAGGCAGTTCTCCGGGGCGCTGTCCGACAACGGGCTGGACAGCGAGGACGAGGAGCCCATCGCCGGCGTCTTCTCCAACGGCAGCCGCGTGGAGGTGGAGGCCGACGTCCACTGCCTGCTGCGCCACGGCCGCGCCCACGCCAACCCGCCCGCCGCCCCCGGAAACGAGCCCTCGCCGCTGGCCGCGCCCTCGCCGTCCCCGTCCCCCGTCCCGCCCTCCTCGCCCGGCCTGGGGGGGGACGGCCGGGCGGGGACTCTGGGCCGCCGGGCGCGGGCCAACGGCTCGGTCGCCTGCCAAGGCCGGAGCCAGGACCTCATCGAGGAGGCCGCCGACGCCCCGGTCAGGAAGCAGGGGGGCTACTTCAACGCCCCCGCACAGCCGGACCCCGACGACCAGCTGGTCATCCCGCCCGAGCTGGAGGAGGAGGTCCGGCTGATCATCCAGCAGCAGCAGCAGCAGCAGCTGCAGGCGCACAGCTACCAGAAACCCGCTGACTACTTCATCACTCACCTCTGACCTCTGGCTCCCAGAACCTCCCAAGGGGGGAGGGGGGCCTCTGGGGTCTGGACCAGGACTTCTTTCTTATGGTTTTGTTACTGGCTGTATTTTCTACTGTTAACGCTGCACAGTTTTTATAATTCTTTTCGTTGCTCGAATCATCCCATGGAGTCGATTTTTAGCACGTGGTCAGATCAGAGAGGCACTTTTCAGGCCCAGTTGGTACTTGAGGAGTCTGACCTCCCTGTTTCCCTGACTCCTCCCCAGTTGGTCACGGCTGGCGGCCTTACAGTTGTCGGAGTTAGTAACTGTTTAACTAACTCCTAGGAGTTTAATACTTTAAAGTGACCTAGTCACTGAGGCGTACTAATGTTCTCTGAGAGAAAAGTTGAATATTTCTGAAGGCTGATATTCCAGGTGTGTGTTCTCTGGGTGTGCCGAGTCCAGAGCGGTGCTGCAGTGGTGAGTAAATGCTGATCGTAGTTACTACCAGCTCATTGAATGTTCTCGGAACAGTGTTAAAACCGCACAATAGAGCTACTTTTGCTATGTAATAAATTAAAGTTTTCAGATAACCACTTTGTTTCGAACTGGACTTTTTTTAATGAGGCTGTTTTGAGCTGAAACAATTAATTTGAAAGCCCGTTTTAAGACCTCAGAGGGGGCAGAACCAGGTCGTCAGAGGCCTCAGTTAATTGTTAACCCCACAGGGGGTCCTTTAAGCTCCTTTAAGTGCCCGCTTATCTAAAACAGCTGTAAAAAATATTAAAAATTTTCCATCAAATATGATTAATATGCTTGTTCCTTTTTAAAACAAAAAAGATTAAATAAAATAAGAATAGTGTCTGTAAAAGAAAAACACATTTCAAAGAATATTAGAACTGTTATACAATTTAACGCAGAGGTTGGACAAACATAAAATCAAGGTTTTCACTAAAATACATGCAATGAGAGATTCAGTTATGTGTAAGAGAGGTCTAAAGAGAGAAAACAGACCTGGTTGTCTGTATGTGCTTAATTTAAAGTGGGAGCCTCTCCCAGGGACCACAGGTGGACGGCAGGCAGCCCTGTCCATCAGAGGACACCAGCCACTCACAGTGGCTCCTACAGTGGGTCTCTACCCACCGTTTAAAGCCATCTGGAGCAGATTCTGCCCTCTTTAGCCTCCAAGAAAACAGTCGCTGCCTTGTCTGTGAATTCAGAGGACGTGTAACATCGCTGGATGGAGAAATACTTTGGTTCGTTACATCACAACTGAGTTAGTCCATTGTGGGACAGGAACCCCTGGTGGCTGGGGGGAGGAGAGTAATGCATAAAAAAGGACAATTTAAATTAAATTCCCGAGTTTTTATTCATTCTGATAAAAAGTTTCATTATAGCGTCAGATATAAAAACAGTTTTCAATGTTAAAAACATCAAATTACTATAATTCATGAGAGAAATGGAATAAAATTAAAGTGTCATTCAGCTTGATTAAAACAGGGTTTCAACCCCAAACAGAGAAAGGGAATCTGCACAAAGGGGAATGACATCCTGAGCTAATTCCTTCTAAAACTCAGGATCGATCGGTACAGACAGCTGTAGTCCTCCCCCTAACCCAGTGTCTCCTGTTCAATTCTGACCAGAAACTTTGATCATTCTTATCAATATAAAGGAAAAGAGCCTCATAGTTACATCTGCGTCAGTAAAAACTGTCCTCTTTATGGTCGCTGGTCCAATTGCATCCTGGATTCTATGAGTGGAGAATCCACTCTGACCTCGAGTAACCTTTTCTTTAACAGTCTGCGTGGAAGAGCCCGGCCCGGCCCCCCTCACACAGAGGTGGTATCGGGCCTGAGCGGGGCCCTCTGCGGCGTGCTCTGCGGGGCGCTGCGTGCCCGCTGCTTCTCGGCGTGGCGCCTCCTCCGCTCCTGCAGGTAGCGGCGCACGCGCCTGACGGTCTGGAAGGTGAGCACGGCGCCGGCGGTGTACAGGATGGCGGTTATGAGGCCGAACAGCGCCACGGCGGCGTCGGCCCCGCCCACGTCGCAGTTCATCCAGGTGTAGCCGTTGCGGGCGTAGATCCTCTGGCGGCGCTGGCACACGTCGGTGGCGTTGACGCTGATGACGAAGTGCAGGTAGAGGCCCACGGCGACCACGTAGGCCGGCGCGCCCAGCGCCTGGAACGCCAGCGCCCCCAGCAGCAGCTTCTGCGACATCAGGTGGGGGGGCTTGTTCCCCGCCACCACGAACAGCAGGGACAGCACGCCGAAGGTCAGGCTGAAGGCGAGGCCGCCGTAGATGCCCGGCGCCCTCATCTGGCTGTACTGCATGTCCAGGTCCCGGGCCTGCTGCAGCTCCGTGCCCTGCAGGTTCAGGTTGCTGTTGATGTTGAAGCCCCCCAGCCCCCCCATGGAGGTCATGCCCGACATGACCATCTGAGCGGCCACCACGCAGATCAGCACCAGCGCGTTGGTCAGGACGGCGCAGATCAGCACGATGCCTGCAAAGAGGAGCGCGGGCGGCCATTTTACTGCCCGTTCAACCACTCACACCCACTTCCCGTCCTCCCAGCTCCCTTCGACTGCGTGCAAAGCAGAAAGTAGTAATCTCCAACTGTTTCCGACAAGTTAACGTATATTTTACACTTATTTCTGTAACACGTGGTCAAGTAGAACTTGAGGAAAAGAGGCAGGAGCTGGAGTCTTTTCACTCTGGTTCTGAACAGAGGCTCACAGGTAGAAAAACCACTTACTGCTACATGTCCAAGCTTAGTCGGGACGCAGATTGGAAAGCTTTTCAGTATTTCGTAATGGCAGCAATTAGTCCCAGCTGCTGTCCTCCCGGGTCAAAGTGACTGTTTTATAAAGCATGAAGTATAAAATGATCCCACAGTTCTGTGTTCCACCTGTAAGTCGACTTGTTTCCTCATTTTGGAGGTAAATTATCAGGAATTCTGAAATCTTTTTACTGTAGTTTGAATATTGCTTGATGCATTCATCTAATTTAAGTTTAGTTTAAAAAAAAAAACACAGCATGGAACTATCCATGTAATTTTCAGCCAGTTATATGGAAGAAAACCAAAGTTAAGAGGTTTAAGCTGCTATCAGATGTCAACAAAATTGCTTTACAAATGGGTTTCAACAGCTGAACTCGGTTTAAAGAAACGGAGGTGTTATCAGCCTTTGAGATTTAGATATCAGCTTCCTTTCTCATCATGAAAGCTATTTTTCTGACAAACCAACAGCAGAAAACAGGTCGACCCAGTTCTGAGAAAGAGGAAGGAATGAAGACTGGCTTTCGCTTTGTCTGACCCAGATTTTCCCTGTATGAGGCAGGCCTACCTCTCCTGGAACATATGTTTGTGCACGTGGAGCCATGGTTCTCGGTCTGAGGGGCTTCCCGGCCACGTTTGGGAGGGGGCTCCTCTTCCCTGGGGTAGTATGGGGGTCGAGAGGAGGACCTGGAAAAGAAACAAAGCATGTTCAATTTATGAACTATATCTCTGACACTGAGCAGGAGTTCAAACTTCCCACTATTTTGAGGAACAGCAAATGTAGCATCATGAGGATAGAAGTTGTGATTAGATTACTCACAAATGGTCTGACCAGCATGTATGAAGGACATAATTTACCATCTGAAGAGCTCACTGATTTTCACGTAAACAAGTTTGACCTGATTTGGACTTCAAACCCTCTTCTTAGGTTTATAATTTCAGAATAAGCCCCAACTCAGACGTGCATCTCAAAGTAACGTTGTTATTTTTGGGAGATTATATATTATTTATATAGATAAAATATAAAGAACTACTACCAATACTACTGAAAGGGTATAAAATGGTTGTATGAGATTGGATTTGTTTATCTTTAATGTGTACTTAAGAAAACAGGAAAAAATTTAGATATTAATTTTGATTTCATCAATCAATTGTTCAGTTGTACCCTTCCTCTCGCCCATTGAACACTAGGATAGGCACCAGTCCCTCTGCGAGCCCATTTGGGAATAAGCGGTTCAATAAATATCATTTACAAAAACATGACAGCCAGACAAAACAGCCCAAAAACTGACACTTCAGATATACTGTATATTAAACTATGTTTGAAGATGAACAGATTATTTTCAGGTATGCCATGCCTCCCATTAAGGACTAAGGATTTATTTTTTATTAGATTAACACAATTTAGAACCCTTTTTTCACAAGTATTAAATCATATCTTTTGATAATTGATCAGTAACGTATATCACTGATTTGGTGACATACTTTATACCAAATCTTTATCCTAAAAAATATCGTTTTAGTCCGGATTTACACTGCGCACACCTGTCGGAAGACGACGGTCTGTCATCTCGGTGAGATCGGGTATCTCCGTTCCTCTCTCGGTAATCTCCGTTCCTCTCTCGGTAATCTCCGTTCCTCTCTCGGTGGTCTCCGTTCCTCTCTCGGTGGTCTTCGTTCCTCTCTCGGTAATCTCCGTTCCTCTCTCGGTAATCTTCGTTCCTCTCTCGGTAGTCTTCGTTTCTGTCCCGGTGACCCCGGTTTGAACGAGGCGGGTGGCTCATACCTGTCGACCGAAAGTGACACAGAAACAACCTTAGAACACCATTCAAAATAAACCAGGTGACGAATGAAAAAAATAAAGCCTTTTATCAATGTATTCTACGGTTAACTAATACACATATGTTTAATTTGTTCAACAAAAATTGGGGGTTTCAAACGTTTCCATCGACTGTTGACGCACACACAAAACCCCGAAAACCTTTTTTAAGAAAACTCTTTTTTATGCTCTAAAAACTCTACAATTATTAAATCAAACATATTTTCTGATGGGGACTATCCCCGATATTTACGTGAGACCAAAAAGTGGAAGGTTGAAGCCTCTAAACCAAAAAATGAACGCTTCGTTTTGTACGATACTCATTAGTGTTAGCTCGTTAGGTACATCAAATTATTCCGCGTTATCGACGAAAAACTTACTGTGAGGTCGATTAACGCTGTCTAAAGTGATTACGCTGTCATTTCTGAATCGTTTAATCGCCGTCTTCGATGTTTTTCAGTCCAGGTTGAGGCAGCTCCGCCCTTCTCCGGGCAGGTGGAGGGAGGAAGACGGAAGAGAAGCGGACAGGTAGGCAGCCCCTCAGGACGCAGCTGGAGCCTCCCTGCGCTGGTTTCTGGACGGAGTTCAATTCATTACCAGCTTTAATGAATCAGCCGCTTTGTGCCACGACAGTTCAAGCCGAGGGGCCAAAGAAGCCTCTGTTTTGCACTCAGATTTAGGGGGTGTTGACCTTTAAACACGGGCTGCTGTGTCTCAGAGCCATCTGGTTGTTTACGGGCTTCTTTTATTAGAGCTCCCCTCCGCTGAAGAGCCGTTTTGTGCTCTCCCACAAGGGACAGCCCACGCTCCATAAGTTCATCATAGTGTTTATGTGGGCAAATTAATGTTTTCTAAGTCACAAACGCCTCTGGTGTGTGGGAAACACATTTTTTAGATGGATATGTATGCATTTTAATAATTATTGACAAACTTTTTAGACAAGATCTGAGTCTCCGGCAAGCACAAAATCCTTGGAAAACTTTCACTTGTTTAGATATTTATTGTAATTTGCACTAAACATGAATACTGTGAATAAGGGAGGAAAAAAACTGTTCAGCCTGATTCTGCAGCTTAAAGTGAATCTCTGCTCTGAGCTCCTTCAGTCTCCAGCACAGCCTGAACCCTCTCGAACCAGCTCTGGGTCCTTTCTTTAAGGAGGCTTCAGGAATAGTTCTCCAGGCTTCTTGAAGGACATCCCAAAGCTCTTCTTTGGATGTGGGCTGCCTTTTGTTCTGTTCTCTGTCAGATGATCCACACTGCTTCAATAATGTGGAGCTCCGGCTCTGGGGAGGATTCATCCCTCCATCAGACCTGTTGCCACTGATTTTCAGTCTACTTCTTGTGTCACTGGGCAGAGCTCAGCCTTTTCTCCCTGTTTCCCTTCCTTAAGAATGGATTCTTGACAGCCTGAACGAGGAAAAACACATTCCTCAGACTATGTTCAGCTTAAAGGAATATAGAAGCATGGTCTCGTATAGCCCTTTACTTCAATATTTTCACAAATTTAACAGCTTTATTTTCAGTAATAATTCTATTTGTTTATAGTTTTCAGATGAGGATGGGCATAAACTTAAGGTGAAACTCCAATACATTAAACCACCTGTAATAGTAATTGGAAATGGTCTGAAGGACAGTCATTACAAAAGTAATTCCAGTCTAAATCAGTGGCAATCTTTTTAATTCTCTATAGTTTGTATTGTTTACCTTTTACTGTAAATATAAATCAAATTGATACATTAAAATGTTTGATTAAAATTGCATGGGTCCTCCGTCCAGCAGGGGGCAGCAGGTAAAAATGGACGTTGGTGTCACGTAGAAATTCTTGCGGGTCATTGCTTTGCCTCTGTAAACAAAATCATGGGGTACACAAGTTGAGTTTTGTAACGCCCTCTAACCACGTTAAAACCCCAGCTTTAATTCAGACGGAACCTGCTCTGTTTTCCGTGTTGAACCGGGAACGGACTCCCCCTCCGCTGGCATGTTGCTGCTCCGGAGGGCGGCTCTCGGAGGCAGAGCTGTGGCCGCTTTACGCTGTCTGCCCGCCGGCCGCAGCACCTCCAGAAGCGCCGCCACCTACGTCCAGGGCCAGAGCCCCGAACCACGAATCCGGGAGTACTTCTACTACATCGACCACCAAGGACAGGTGAATATAGCGTGTTATTTCTAGAAAAAGTGTTGTACATTTCACCGTTACTCGGATAGTGATCGCTGTGCTTTTTGCAGCTTTTCCTTGATGACACGAAAGTGAAAAACTTTGTCACCTGCTTCAAAGGTAAGGTTCTTATCTTACTACTGCAGACCACCACCACCCCTTTCTAAAAAACTTACATTCTGAACCACAAAGAGGCTTTATATAAAGCCTTGCAAATGTAAACATAACATAGTACATAACATTTTGTCCCAGTTCAGGCTGCCAAGGTTGTGCAACTGAAACAGAAGGGTGCTTAACTTACAAAGTCATTAATATTTCCATTAATGACCAAGGTTTTGTGCTAATTGTTGCCAAATTGTTGTCACTTACAGACTATTTAATTATCAAATAGAATCTGCTGCTACTTAACTGAATGTCATGCACTACTGCAACTCCCTCTGACATTACCCACACCCTGAACTACTATGTCTCTTTTTGTACTTATGTTGAGTGGTTTACCTATAGCTTCTTAGTCTGTATATCGATGTAGCTTATTTATTTTGTGTGGTAGCCGTAGCCTAAGTTAGATCTAGTTTTTAGTTTAGTTAATATACCACTGTGCACCTTACCTACCAAATGTATGAGAGCTAGCCTTAGGATAATAGGTCTGCTGTGACAGCATTGTTACTTGGTGTCAATGTGTTGTCTTGTCAGCGACGTGGGATGGTGAGGAACATAATTTTGATCATTTGAAATTAACAGACTTTGACTTTTAAATGAGTTTTTCATGGCTGCTTTTTCAACCGAAAACCTCTATCCTGTTCTTTGTGTACCCAAACTTAAGAGAGGCCCCTCTTTATGGGGTCCTATGAAAATCTGTCTGCTTTCACCTTTCCGTGAAACAGACGTTTGGCTTTTTGCACATTTAAGGTGAACCCTCCCCCACAGGTGAATCTCAGAGCTTTCTTCAGGGTGCCCCTGAGGTCAGCAGCTCTCTGACATGTTTTTTTTTTTTTTTCAGACAAAAAATTCCTCATCTTCTTCTTCAGCCGGCTGCGGTCCAACCAGAGCGGCCGCTACGAAGAGGACTTCCCCTTCCTGTCTCTGTGTGGCCGCGAGAGGAACTTCCTGCGTTGCGACGACCGCCCCGTGGTCTTCACCCACCTGCTGGGGGGCGCCGCCGCCCCCCCGGAGCTGCTGTCCTACTGCGGCGGCGCCGAGAAGCTGGCGCTCGCCTTCCGCCCAGAGGCGCTGTACATGCACCCCGACAGCGGGCGGGTCTACCACCCCTGCCCCGAGCGCTGGGGGGGGGTGGGCCTGGTCCGCTCTGCCCTGGCCATCGAGCTCAGCCCTTTCTTTGTGTACCCAGCGGAGAGCGGCCAATCGGAGCAACCGACGCACTTTATCTGGGAAGGACAGAAGCACACGCTGACCAATGAGCTGGCTGGATGCTTCCCAACAGCAGAGGAGGCCAGCGGGCAGCAGGGAGAGCCGGGGTAACGTCCAGAGGGCTCACGTCCGCCTGTTAGTTCAAATATCTGGGCAATGCCGTCAAAACCCCATCGGCTCTTCACCGATAAGACTCAGTCCTGGACAGAAATTAGTAATTAGTCTGTGTCTTTGTGGCGTTTATGTTTGGGTCCCAGACGCGTTGACTTTAATGGCATCATTAGCTCAGAGGAGAGTCAGCGTGTCGCATGGATAAGGTGACAAACCGGTAGATTCATCACAAAAAAAGGGTAAAAAACAAATACAAACCAATGTGTCTGGATCGACATCAAGGCCGAAATGCTGTGACTCTAAGGACTGATCCAGAGAAACAGGGTGCCCTGTCTCTGGAACCAGAAACAGTGATGTAAAGGCAGACTTTTGTTGTTGTTAGTGAATGATGCAGAAAAGAAAACTGAAAAAAATACTCAGGTTTGGGACTTCAGATGGTTTATTCTCAGAAAGGGGTGTCAGATAAAGTATTAAAACAGATTACTATTCATAATGGGAAAGAAAGATTAATTAAATATTATGATAAGGTTTCAATATCACAGCATAACAGATCTTCAAATGTTTCTATGAATGAGTCTGTATGTCTGTGATCTTCCATTGAAATATTGAAATGATCATATTTATTGTTATAAAATATTATAAAATGTAAGAGAATTTGTGTGTTTTCTTTTGTTTGTTCACACCAGAGGCCACTCTTTATTTGGAACAGATTTGTTTTGTCACAACACAGACAGGTGAAATATTTCAATTTTAGGATTCTGCCTGAGTCTGACCCCGGCCAAAGGTCAAGGTGGGTTATTCATCTGTGAGTCAGGTGTTGTTTATTGGTAGGAGCACAGTTTCTAATGTGTTTTGTCAAGGATTTTGAATTATTCATAGCTCAGAGTTAAGTGGCTTAACAAAGGAAAACGCATTCCTCTGACATTTTTCAGCTGGACTGAAAATGAGAGAATCAGAGAAATACTGAAACTGCTTAAGAAAGCTGGAGAACTATTAGTGAAGACCAATTAAAACCTGGAAGGAATTAGATGTGGATTCAGTATTCTCTATTTTGTGTAACTTTTCACTCAATCTCTCAGTTCTCTCTCATTTGGCCAGGAGGGACGCCAGAAAATGACTCTAAATAAACTAACCTAAAGTAGAAATGAGGCGAACTGACAGGACCATCTCTTTAAAAAGTACCTAATGATAATTCTGTTAAAACCACACGGTTAAAGGCGTCCCACGTAATATCTGTGAGAGCCCTTAGTGATGGACTGCTCCCACCCCGGGGTTCGGCAGGCTGCGGACGGGTCTCGGCGGGGCTCTGAAGGAACTCCAAGTCCCAGACACCCCCGCGCCGGCGGGCGGGCGGACCAGCAAAGATGGCAGCGCCGTCCGGAGAGGCGTGCGGGCTCCTGGAGCGCTCCGTCCGGCAGCGGGTCCCGCCGCTGCTCACCGACCTCTACCAGTTCACCATGGCCTACGCCTACTGGCGGGCCGGCCGCCACCGGGAGCCCGCCGTGTTCGAGCTCTTCTTCCGGGACAACCCGTTCGGCGGCGGCTTCTCGCTGTTCGCGGGGCAGCACGACTGCCTGCTGTTCCTGCGCAGCTTTCGCTTCACGGAGGAAGGTGAGGACACCGGGGGGGAAAGGGGGGAAAGGGGGGAGGGGGGAGGAGGGGTCAGGGCCATGCCAACCTCGCTGCCCACCCCCCCACTCTAATAGAATAATGGCATCGTTTATGATTACGGACCGTGTCTCGTCTGTTATTCCTCCGCCGGTTGCGCAACGTTTCGTGGCTTCCCAGTGAGAGAGCCATGTGCCAAAGCGGAATTTCTGCAAACCTTGACCTTTAACTTTGAACTTCAGCACCGAAAATAATCCCCGAGGGGACTTCGTGCTGCCGGGGATCTCGAGGCCAAGGGAATGGAGCAGATTATCCTGTGCGCGTGAAACCTCTGGAAAAAAGAAAAGAAAAAAGGTTTAGTTTGGGAAACGTGACCGCAACACAGGACCGCACAAAGTGGAAGTCTTCTGTCATCCATTAGAGCCGCTGTAGATTTATCCAATTTGAATGTGCATTTTGCACACATACTTTCTATACCCGAGAAGCAACTCAAGCTTTATAGACAAAGTAAAACCTTAATGTATATTCATTAGAATTGCTTAAACGGATCAAAGTAAATATGTGATTCTGTTAAATTGAACCTAAGCTGTAGGGGGGTGTTTGAACCTTTTGATCTAACAGACAAAGTGAAAGTAGAAGTATCTTGATTGTAGTGACAGTGTCAATGTAAGTACTTTAAAAAGCTAAAGAGGAACCTAAAAGAGAAAAGTCGTTCTGACCAAGAAGACCTGGACACAAGACGTGAGCACTAACATGCTTCATCAATGGTACTGCAGCCACAAACATGTAACTCTGGCTTTGATCCCAGTCCCGCTGCTGAAGCCTGCTGGATTGGATTAGCTGTACATCAGATTTGCCTCTGTTATTGTTGGCGTGTGTGTGTGTGTGTGTGTGTGTGTGTGTGTGTGTGTGTGTGTGTGGTGATGGAGGGCACGTGGGGCTGGGGACACACGGAGGACACGTGTTCCAGGATGTCTTGGGTTGGTTGTGGCCCTTTCGCTGTGGGCGTTGGGGCCGTAGGGCTAACTGTGCTTGTGGGTGGATGCAGATGTGGAGTTCCTGCGCTCCGTCCTGCCCTGCTCCACCGACCCCGCCTTCTTCCAGTTCCTGCGAGGCCTGGACTGTTCGGGCGTGACGCTGCGCTCCGTCCCCGAGGGCACGGTGGTGTTCGCCAGGGTGAGCTGCGGGGGGGGGGCGGGGTGAAGGGGTGAAGGGGTCAGAGGGAGTAACGGGTGGTGGATGTCTCACAGGTGCCTCTGATGGAGGTGGAGGGTCCGCTGGCTGTGGTCCAGCTGCTGGAGACCAGCTTACTGTGTCTGGTCAACTACGCCAGGTAACCGCTACTGACACTTCAGAGCAAGTTCAACTGGCCACTGTTGTTCCTGATTTACTCAAACCTTCAATTATCCTCAAAGCTCAAAGCAAGTGTTCACCTCAATTTTTAATATGTTGTTTGATGAAAACCTTCTCTGTGAGTTAAAACTGCATTGATTGGTTCTGAATATTATTCATTTCCCTTTCATCCTAAGAGTTCATTCCTGTGACGGCACTGTAATGTTCAATTCCATCCGCAAATAAAAGAACCTAAAAAGGGGACTTACCAGACACTTAACTGATTGTAGAGAAAAAGAGGTTTGCTTTTAATGGTTCTGGGGATGCCGACAGTCAAGTTGAGCCAAATGGGTTCAGAAACCTTACATGGAAAGGCAAAAGACTTCCCATGGAAATATAAGAAAAGTAAAAAATTCAACATAAATACAGTTAGAATGATTCAAATAACGTTTCCAACAAAGTAAAAATGGAATAAATAATTCAGAAAGTTTTTGGTTTCATCAGTATTCAGTTCTGGACTGAATCTGGGCTTTCTATGCGTAACGGAACAGAATGTCTGAAGCGTACCTCTCGGTGATGGCCTGCTTCTTCCCTGTTGTCAGTCTGGTTTGCAGTAACGCCGCTCGTTTCCGGCTGGCCGCCGGACCGGGCAGGAAGCTGCTGGAGATGGGCCTCCGGAGAGCTCAGGGACCAGACGGGGGCCTGACAGCCTCCCGATACACACACATAGGAGGTGCAGGCTGAGAGCGCGTTAAAACAAAACGCTGGTCATTTCCGCTCACACACGCTCACGGCGGCTGGGATTTGTCCTCCAGGGTTTGATCTCACCAGTAACGTGCAGGCCGGCTTCCTGTTTGGGATCCCCGTCGCTGGGACCATGGCGCACTCGTATGTCACCTCCTTCAGCTCCCTGGAGGAGGTGTGTCCACAGGTGTGTATTCCGTTCATCCCAGAGCTCTCTGTCCCTGCATCCGCTGACTGTTTCCACTCACAGGGCTAATAGAGAATTAAATGCTAACAGAAAGAAAGAATGGTGAGGCTAAACAGATCCTGGGCAATAGAAAGAATTCAGCATGTAAAGTTTATCTGAAATCAAAATCTTTTCAGAAGAAGTTGCTCTTAAAGGTTTGTAAAGTTAATAGCCTTAAAAAAAGATAAATAAATAAGTAAAAAGTTCTTATAATTGATTTGATGTAGCGTCACATGGTTAAGGATTTGTGTGATTCCCTCCATTCGTTGCCTCCGTTCAGACCCTTGTGGCAGCGAATGGGGACGCTGGTCCAGTTGATGTCATCTCCCTAACCAAAGGCTGGCTGAGTCGAGTGTGTGAGCTTCTTGGATCAGAGCCCGCCAAGATCCGGGAGGGCGAGCTGGCTGCTTTTCTGTCGTACGGCATCGCATACCCTCAGAATTTCCTCCCTGTGATTGACAGCTACAGCGTTGGCTGGTAAGGCATCCCTTATTAACAGATATTTTCAAAAAGACCATATGACATGAACGTCTACTTCTTTTTTTTGTTTTTTATTGTTCTTTATATTATTTTTTTGTTTTTTTCTGCTTCTCTGCTTTCTGCTATGTAAGAAACTCGTTTTAAATATCGACTGTACCCTTCTTTTATCGTGGCTTTTACCGCTAGATGTCACTATTTCATTGTGCTACAGAGAAAGAAATGTTTGGTGACCATGGAGTCCTGGATATAGTATCCGTTTACACAAAACTACAAAATATTTGTTAAATATTGATGTTTTTGAGAAAGATCTGATTCTTAAATGGAGACTTTGAGATCACAAACATCCATATTTAACCCCTGTGTGATCGGTAGCTCCATTTAGAGCCCAAATCCTTTTTCTTCTGATCATTTTAAGATGAACCTTTTCTTTGACTTCCTCGCAATTCTCAAGAATTCAACTATTGAACAAATCTTTTTAAGATTTCAGACTTTTTTTTACACTCAGAACTGAGGTGAGACGTAGATTCAAACTCACCAGAGCCCCTCAGGAACTTGTACTGATGTGAATACTGACCTTTTGGCCGAGGCCTCCCTGAAACGGGCCAGAAGACACGGGGAGGCCGCAGAGAGTCCGGCGCAGTTCAGGGTGACGCGTGTCTTTGGCCTCTCAGCAGTGGCCTGCTGAACTTCTGCGCCGTGGCCCTGGCGCTGAGCGAGCTCGGCTACAGGCCTGTGGGCGTTCGTCTGGACAGCGGAGACCTCTGCGGGCAGTCCGTGGAAGTCCGCCGCGTCTTCAGACTCTGCAGCCAGCAGTGAGTAGGGGGGGCGGGGGCCACCTGGCACGGCCACGTCTTCGCCCGAATCCTCTAGACATCCGGACGTCTGATTTCTTGTTGTTCCCTCTCGGCTCAGTTTCTCCGTCCCCGCCTTCGATTCCCTGATCATCGTAGGGACCAATAACATCTCAGAGCAGAGCATGGCTGAGCTCAACAGGAAGGTCAGTGGAGCCGGATTGGTCGATATGAAGCACCGAGGGCCACTTAACGTCATCCCTGTTTGTTCCCGTTTCAGGAGAACGAGATCGACGTGGTCGGCGTGGGAACGCATCTGGTCACGTGCACCAAACAGCCGTCCCTGGGCTGCGTGTACAAGGTGAAACGAGCACATTCAGGAGGCCTGGCCGCCCGTTCGCTGTGTTGATACGCGCTTGCTGTTTCAGCTGGTGGAGGTCAGGGGGAGGCCCCGGATGAAGATCAGCGAGGACCCAGAGAAAAGCACGGTTCCAGGGAGGAAGGCCGT